ATATGTTAATGTATGTTGAGGTCTTGCATGATCTTTAAATGAACTTACCTACTCTTCCATAGCAACCATCTGGAACTGCAATTTTAATATCTGTTTTGGCGACTATTCTTTCTTGGGCTGGTACAACATAGTCATAAGCACTGAAAACAAAATTCACAATACAGTATTAGTACAGGTTTAATCATTCAATGTTAAAACTAGAGAAACAGCAACTCCAAAGAAATCCCACATACAATTTTATCAAATCGCCTAGCAGGACATGACTAGAATGCTCACTTTGTAAAAGCTAAAGGCAGAACTCCTATCGTAAATAAAAGAGTAATTTTTAAACTTGACAACAGCAGCGCCAAAGCGTAGCAAATCCCATCGAACAGCCATGGCTGGTATTTTAACAAAATCCTTCTACTAGTTTTTCAGTTCGAGCAAAAATCTATTTGAAAGCTTGTGATAACACACATAACAAGGCACAGACGTGAACAATATCGTACCTAAAACACAGCATTGTGGTCTTGTTGACCAAGAAAGCAAGATGGCCGCAGAAAAGTTAATCAGCTCTAGAACTTATCACTGTGTAACATATGTAAACAAGAACACAAATGTGTACAAAATGTCCCCACCAGTGGGTGATCCCATCAAATGGTTATCCTGAAAATGAGTAGACAAGACTTTACCAACACAATTTGAGGACGGAAAATCCAAAATGGCCACCTTAAAATTTACCCAGAATGCCAAAAATTTAGTCAGTTCTATAGATTTTCAAACTAAGAACCACCCCTGAAAATTTTTAATTGATCCGTCACACAGTTAACTAGAAAACATGTAAACAAGACTTTACAGACAAGATTTTGGGATGGAAAATCCAAAATGGCTGCCTTGACATTTACCCAGAATGTCAAAAAACTAATCTGTTCCTAGATTTTCATACTAAAAATTCTAAAAATCATCCCCGAAAATATGACATTGATCTGCCAAATGGTTCACCTGAAAACGCGTAGACAAGACTTTACAGACAAGATTTTAGGACAGAAAATCCAAAATGGCTGCCATGACATTTACACAGAATGCCAAAAAACTAATCAGATGTAGATTTTCACACTAAGAATCATCCCTGAAAATTTGAAATTGATCTACCAAACGGTTCACCTAAAAACGCGTAGACAAGACTTTACAGGCAAGATTTTAAGACGGAAAATCCAAAATGGCTGCCTTGACATTTATCCAGAATGCCAAAAAACTAATCAGATCTAGATTTTCATACTAAGAATCATCTCTAAAAATGTGAAATTGATCTACAGAACGGTTCACCTGGAAATGCATAGACAAGACTTTACAGACAAGATTTTAGGACGGAAAATCCAAAATGGCTGCCTTGACATTTACCCAGAATGCCAAAAAACTAATCAGTTCTACATTTATATACTAAGAATCATCTCTGAAAATTTGAAATTGATCTACCAAACGGTTCACCTGAAAACGCGTAGACAAGACTTTACAGACAAGATTTTAAGACGGAAAATCCAAAATGGCTGCCTTGACATTTACCCAGAATGCCAAAAAACAAATCAGATCTTGATTTTTATACTAAGAATCATCCATGAAAATTTGAAATTGATCCACCAAACGGTTCACCTGAAAACACATAGACAAGACTTCACAGACAAGATTTTAGGACGGAAAAATCCAAAATGGCCGACAATAAAAAAGTGATTATGTGTTTTTGCTGATTTCTTCTTACAAAATTATCACATATAACTACTGTTAACAATAACATAGGCTTTTACAACAAAGTACATCTGAAATTATTAATAAAGCTACTAAATAGTTAAAGTATGAAAACTCAAAAACACCATTCAATATGATACAAAGTATTATCGTGCGCTAACTTTTCTTAAGACATTCAAAATGGCTGACATGACTGAGCTAACAGGTCCAAAACCTAATCAGATCTAGAATGAAGTGAGCTGAAAAAGATTTTAAAGTTTTAAAAGCAACTGTGAAGCCGTTTTTCTTAAAGTTTGCAGACAAGGATTTTAGCATTTGACTTCAAAATGGCCGACAGGAAGTAGGTATCGAGTTAAAATTTTTTCATCCACATCTGTATGCACTCATAAGTTATCCCTGAAAATTTGAAGGTGATATCTGTAGCGGTTTTGGAGAAAACTCCCGGACGTACGGACAGACGGACGGACGGACGGACGGACAGACAGACGGACGCGCCTAGGCCGACAATATGGCCCCACACTATGTGGTGGGGACATAAAAACGGTTTGGCTGGAAACCTGTAGACAAGCCTCGATAGACAAGATTTTAGGACGGAAAATCTAAAATGGCAGCCTTAACATTTACCCAGAATGCCCAAAAACTAATCAGTTCTTGACTTTGATATGTAGAAACATCCCTGAAAATTTCAGATGAATCCCTCAAATGGTTTGGCTGAAAACCTGTAGACAAGTCTTGAAAGTGAAGATTTTAGGATGGAAAATCCAAAATGGCCACCTTAAAATTTACCCAGAATGCCCAAAAACTAATCAGTTCTTGACTTTGAAATGTAGAAACATCCCTGAAAATTTCAGATGAATCCCTCAAATGGTTTGGCCGAAAACCTGTAGACAAGTCTTGAAAGTGAAGATTTTAGGACGGAAAATCCAAAATGGCCACCTTAAAATTTACCCAGAATGCCCAAAAACTAATCAGTTCTTGACTTTGATGTGTAGAAACATCCCTGAAAATTTCAGATGAATCCCTCAAATGGTTTGGCTGGAAACCTGTAGACAAGCTGAAAAGTGAGACGCCGCCCGCCCGCCAAGCTGACTACAATATCGTACCTCTTGTTAGGTACGATAAAAAGTGGGTTTGGGATTTGGATTCCGACCAATGCAGGCCTGTCAACTTGGGAACACATATATGACATATACCCAATTCACATGAAAATTCCGAACGAACTGCCATGTGCTTCTTTAATATCTACATTTCTGGCTTTATTAATGTCCTATATAATTTTTTTTTTTACATTTAAAACATATTGCTATTACAGTTTTACATATTGCACCTAAATTACTGTAAAATCGGCACTAAATTGGCCACCATTTTTAAATGAGCGGCCATTTTGAAAATCGGCTTGTCATGTTGCATTCTGGGAGCCAATCCACATTGCCGCATAATCCGGCTCCAAAATCACCTCAACATTTGAAGAGTCGGCATTAACATGTGAATTCCACTTCAAATTTTTAAGTTCATTATGGACACAAATTCCAATATATCTGGACTTACTTATACTAGGACGGAGAAAATAGAGCACTGAATACACTGAGGTAAGAATTTATTTACTCACTTCGAGTATGGCTCTCAAACGGAGAAGTGAACAGCTCATCAATAGTGACCTTTGAAATCGAATTAAGTCGATCCGCGGCTTACTTTTGGTCTCTAACTGTGTCTTACATCAGTATCATCAATCCGTGTAAGTATTGGAGCGCTGGAGTACTTCTTTTTCGATCAAGACTTGTAAATTGTTCATAGAGTGAAAGTTTTTTAGACCTATTTCCAATATGGCGGTTTGCTAGGTGCGAGATACGCAACGAACGAAATGAATTTTGAGAATTAGTTAGGTTCGGACAACCTCCGGAGATTTACGAAAATGTCCGAGCAGAAACCGAGAAAGCTATTATATCAAAATCCAATAGCTTTCGTAGGAAGTAAGAGTTTATTACATGTGCGACAGCATGTAATTTTCATAGCTATAGTAATTCTTTATGGTGTGCACTGTATGTGTGCAAAATATGAACAAAATTGGGCCAACAGTGTTCGAGTTGTTGCCCTGACAGATGGAGAGACGGACAGGCAGAAAGACGGATGGACGGAGGCGTTCCTATATCCCTCCGAACTCAGTTCGATGGCATAATAATTGATATCTAAAGTGACCTGCAAATGGGATTCAGACGGGAATCGGACCAATGTCCCCCAAATTTCGTATTTCTACATGTCACGCAGTTTGCTGGAAAATTTGAAGTCATGCCAGTTTTTTTTGCGTGACATATCAACCTTAGACTAGAGTCAATACGTCCAAATCCAAACAGGGGGGTAAACACGAACGGGTTCCAAATAATGGCAAGCAGATCATTGAATTGAATAATAGTACCTCTACTACCTCTACATAATATTTATAGCCTGAAAGATACAATATAATGATGTATACCAACAATCTTACAATAAAATAATCAATTATGATGATTTAGGTGTTCGGAATTACCCCCATGCTAGTGTTTGGAATTACCCCCACAAACTCTGTGCGTTTAAATAAATATATGTCAGTAATAAATGATTTAAATTTGGGTTTCTTGATATGCAGGGGTGACAGGATCCAGTATCATAAGTTAAGGGTATCATATAATGATATACCATCAATCTAATAATTGAAACAATTAAGTTTAAGTTAAGTGTTTGGAATTACCCCCATGCAGGTGTTCGGATTTACCCCCCAAAAAAACTCCTGTTCGGAATTACCCCCCTAAAATACCTTGTAGTAAAAATGGAATAACCCAGATATTTTTTACAATTTTTCGTAATTTTTTCTGCAAATGCATTCTACAGTGGATAATACACATAATATATATAGAATCATAGCATAGATGTGCAGTACAGCCAAGCTAACTACATTTTTTGATGGGGGTGTTTGGAAATAGACGTACTGACTCTACCTTTTGAGATCATATCCTGCTGCAAGACTTGAGCCTCTCACCGGAGCATAAGCATTTTCTGTTATTTTGGCGAATCTTAGAACAACTTTCTCGAGTCCCATGTCCGTTACCTTCTCTACATTTGCCTCCTTTGCCTTTTTACAAGCGGGCTCACTGGTTATGATGTTTTGTGATACGTTTTCCTTATCGACTTCCATTCTCCGATTCTGGTGTTGTCTAAACTCGAAATTGGCGGGAAAAATCTATCGTAAAGCAGCTTTATCTTATTATTTTCAAGAATAGCATTAATTCAGTAAATGTAATTATTTTTTCATGAAGAAGTTTTCCGCTATTTTGTAATGCTATATTATGTGTTGTAATCAACAGAGTCTAATCAATGATACTTTTTGCGGCATTCTTTACAACAACGTGTTCCACTTCCGGGTTCGACATGCCATTTGTTATTTTCTGTGGTCCACCTTGTAGCGGCAAATCAAAGCGATGTATGGAATTGAAATCGTTTATCACTAGCAATTACAAGAGAGAAGTTATTGTTATATCCGATGATGTTACTGGTGTTCCCAAGAACGAAATATATGCAGGTAAACCAAACATGAAAAGTCATCTTCGATTTTGACATTTTCTATTATTTTTTCTGATCAAGTGCAGACTGCAAACACAGGATACCCCACACTAAAAGCTTTACCGTACATATTTTCAGATTCAAAGAAGGAAAAAGAAACGAGAAGTGGCTTAAAATCTGCAGTCCAAAGGTATGCAAAGCTTTGCACCTTGTGTAAATCAATGAATGAATGACCCGGAAGTAAATAAATGACTGTAATCGTTAGAAGCAGAACCTTTATAATTGAAAGACTAATATTAATGTGATGTTCTCATGTTTCTTTTTTAGAAAAATAACAAAAGACAACGTTGTTCTGGTTGATTCAATGAACTATATCAAGGGTAAGGCACTTTTACAAAATTTTCTCCATTATGTTGTATCTGCCCGGCTAGCTCAGTCGGTAGAGCATGGGACTCTTAATCCCAGGGTCGTGGGTTCGAGCCCCACGTTGGGCGCAATGTTTTTCTTTTTTTAGGATCAATGTTTTTCTTTTATGGGCTCTCAATGTTTTCTTCACATGATATAACACAGTGATTTAGATACTATTTAATTACGCAATCATTTAGGCTGATTCAGAGTTGCGCACACAGTTGTGACAACTTATCCCGTACCAGGACTATAGACTAAAGTCCTGGGATGGGATAAGTGACAACACAATGGTCCAACTATAGACATATTTTTAATATTTTACATACATGTGCCATGTGCTTTTTTGTACTTTCTTTTCATTTTGGTATTATTCATCACCAATTGTTTTATAGGTTTCAGGTATGAACTTTTTTGTGTGACAAAGTCTGCCCAGAGCCCCCATTGTGTGGTAAGTACAAATTCACTACACTAATTGGCATTTGTATTGTGAAATAATCTGGCAGCCTAAGGGAAGTCAGCACAATATTAGGTACAGCTGGAAAATAACATTTTGGTAAAAAATTGCTATACCTGCACATGTTTTTTTCTGATACACTATAAAGAATGAAGGCATGTGTTAATTTCCTTGCTTTTTTCAGGAAAGTATCATTACACTGTCTTCTTTTAGTATATCTGGAAAGAGGTCAATGGGAACTCCAGGAAATTCTTATATTTCACACTTTCTATTTTTCCAAATTTTCTTTCAAAGTGTCCAGACAACACAGGAGCTACCATTACTGTTTCCAGTTTTACTAAAAGTAGACAATGTAATGATACTTTCTTGAAAAAAGCATGGAAATATACACATGCCTTCATACTTAATTTTGTACCAGAAAATAACATGTGCAGGAATAGCAATTTTTTCCAAAATGTTACTTTCCAGCTCCTATAAAAAGTCAAGAGATATACATACATGTACATTTTAAATCTGTCCTAGTGAACACCTCTCTCTAGAAAACACATGTCTCTAGTGGACACCATTCCTCATCACATACTCTACTACTGACTTCTGTATAAATTAAAATTAACCTCTCTGTAGTGAACACCTGCCAACACTGAACATCTTTCTTGGCAAAAAATGTTCAATATACACAGGTTTTATGTACACTTCTATGTACACTTATGTATGTTTATCCAGGGTGAACCAAAAAAGGGAACCCAAATAAATGTTAATAACTCAGTCATCAAATTTGATACAATTGAACCTTGTGCAATGTTCGTTCACTCTACTAAGTCTCATCAGTCTGTTCCCAATGGTCACCATATATGGTCATTTTACAAAAGGTGCTCCTAATGCCAAAACATGCTAGTTATTCTAGGGGCTCTGTCGAAGATAATTGTAGTCTGCACTAACTAGAAGCATCATGCAGGGAGTTTGAAACAAGAGATATATAGATGAGTATGGATTTGCAAAAAATAAAAATAAATGACTGAGTTATGTACATTTGGGTTTGGGTTACCTTTTTTGGCTGACCCTGTATATATCACACATAGTTTTTTTTAGATTTACTGCAATGTCTCTTAATTGTTCATATAACACATGATTTATAGATTTACTGTGATGTCTCTAAAGAGAATGCTACAAAGTGGAACAGTGGTAGACCACAGCAGGAACAGTATACTCAGGATGTGTATGTATAAACATTAATACTTTAAGATTTAAGCCCTAGACTCAGTGCATTGCTCTGTTCTCAGCTCTAGTAAAAATTGTAAAATACTGTCAAAATGACACTAAAATTTTAAAATTTTATAGGCTGATATCTTAGATATAAAATTTTTGCCATGTCACTCAATTTTAAATGGCAATCATTTATGCAAAATATTATATTTTAGCTTTAACATGAATTTCTTCTTACCAGCTTGATTCATATATCCTACTTCATCAAGTCACTATCTTGTAGGATATGTGGCTCTTAAAATATACTTCAGTGATCTCCCCAGCATTAAAGCAAGTGGGCGCAGCACCCACCTGAGATTTTGAAAATAGGCTTGCACCCACCTGAAAATCCATTTGCACCCACTTGAAAATGAGAAAAATCATGAAAAATTGGCATATTTTGACCAATTTTGGTCTGAATTGTGAAAACGAAAATTTTGCACCCACCTGAGACAAAATCCTGGGGAGATCAATGTACTTACTTTCAAAATATTAAATAGTATACAATAGTGTTATTTTCTTTTGTAGCTTAGATGCATTGATGATGAGGATGGAGCCCCCAGATTCCAGAAATCGTTGGGATTCTCCACTTTTTACAATACAATATGATGATGAGTTACCATGCCAACAGATATGCGATGCCATCTTTCAGAGGAAGGCACCATCTCAGAATATGTCTACTCAGTCAGTAAGACGATACGTATTAAGGGCAATCCACATTTTGCTAATTGCATCACAATAATGCAATCCACATTTTGCTAATCGCATCACAATGATGAACATAATTTAGTTGGGAAATACTAATAGTAAAACCCATCATTTGTTAAAGGAAGAACTCATATGCACAAGACTGATTTGATTTATATTTGGTTGGAAAAAACATGTATTATGATGTTTCTAATATATAATAAATTTTGACTCAAGAATAGAATGTGCAATTTCCTTTTTAAAACCAATACTGAGACATCTCATATATTTTCAACAGTATAGCTCATATTATAGTAAGTAGGGTACATGTATGTGCAGCTGCTTTAAAAAGTTGGTGATTTTATTTTTTAGCAACCCCTCTCCTCCACAGATTTCCTGTATGAGTTAGATAGAATAACTCAAGCTACAGTTAGTGTAAGTATCATTTCTGTAAAAGTTAAATTACAGGTAGCTCAAGTCTCAGTCCTATATCATCATGATAAACCATGACATCTCATTTCTTCTCAGCCCTGAGATGTTTCAGGTGAAACAGAAAGATAATATGATTATCAGAATGGTCCTATATTAACTTGGAAGTACTCAACAACCCAAAATAAATTGATGAAAACAATTGTTTTTTTTTCAGGTGATCATTGACTCACAGAAGACAGGAATAGTTGGAGATGCAATAACAGTTCCTGGGGCTGATGAGAAGGTTTGTAATCTGACAAAAACATCAACTATTATTCCATGTTTAACATTTAAATACAGCTAGATCCTGTATACAGTGTAATTGAATTCTGATATAATTAATATACAACATGATGATTGATGAAATCATAATGCAATCAGTCTGTGTCAGATTCATTATTATCCCATCGAACGAAGATGACCACTATTTTATCCTATTTTACTATAACTTGAAAAGTAGTGGAGCGATTCTGTTAATATTTGGTATGTGAATAATATAAGCATGGCACACTGTCTAATGACACTTGTGGTAGAAGGTGGCATTTTGAAAAATGGCTGCCATTTTTGCTATAAACTTTGTTTGTAAAAATGCTACCCATTGCTGTTCGATGGGATTTGCTACTCTTTGGCGTTGCTGTTGTCTAGTATTTGACTAGGTATTATGAATATGGTCAGGGATAAATGAAATGAGATGAAATTTGGAATTTGCTTTCTGAATTCAAACTTTCTTTTGATTCATTGAACTTTGATTTACCTCTAAATTTATGAAATGCAGCATTTTAAAAGTGTTCCTGAAAATGTCTTGGGTATTTGCCTGAGTTGTCATGTCTTTGCATTGTTCCCTGTCAACCCTACTTGAGATGTAGAGGAAAACATATTTTTAGTTACCAGTAGTTTTTTCTGAAATATGTCTATCTTGTGATTTTTAGGTTCGTATTCTGCGCCACATATCCTTAGCAGAGCTTCAAAGACATAAGAGACAGTTCATCAAGTTTACAAAAATGCACCCAACTTCAGACATCTCAAAACTATCAAATATGTTTGTGCAGTATCTGAACAATAGCATTACATAATGGATTCATTGAATATAACATAGCATTGGTTTAAGCAAAACAGAGTGGAATGGAATAGAATTACCAAGGCATACAATGAGAGTTTCAAGGGATGCATTCTTCAATTGTATCAGACAAAATTTGACCTAAGCTGAACTACCAGATGGACATATATGGAAGTGGTGTGTGTTCATTTTTGTATCAATGGAAATATATTACTTTTTAACAATTTTACCAATTTCTGCATTTTAATTTGATTTATACCTTAAAAAAGCTTTGTTGGAACATATTCGTATCAAAAATACTGTGAGATGTGTGCTATATGAAATTCAAAGCCTGTGCAAGAGTAGGCCTTTATTTTGTGAAAATGAAACCTATTCAGAATTGAGATTACCTACAAAGTATGCATTTACAATATTATATTCATAATTTTCAAATGAAAAATTGATTGTAAATGTACATCGCAAATATTTCAATATGCAGCATCACAATTTGAAATATAATCATCAAATATTTTTCTTTCTTATAGTCCTAGATCACCATGTAATACCATGGGCTATCAAACCTTTTTTTCTCCTTTGAACTCATGTTAATACTTGATTGATCTTTGATCTTTCTGATTGCAATTTGAATTTCTGGCTGAATAAATGTTTGTCAAGATTTTCGCCAATCAGTTCCTTTGATGATGTTGAACCAGTTTGGTCAATTTTTATTATAACATGTACAAGTTGCAAGCTTCTAGCATTTTAATTTTTAACCAAATTACAAATTATAAGATCGTGATCAGCATATACCAGTATCTCTTTATAGATTTTTAAGGTTTTGATCTAGACCCGATTTGGGCATGACTAAATCACTGTAAGATTGTTGTGTCAAATTCATTGTGTATATCCTAAAATGCATTCACACCCCACTAGTGTATATAAATCTTAGTTTCCCGATATAACAGAAAATATGGATATGCTTTTCTGGAGTGCTGCATCTGTAGCTTAAATGTTTTTTTTGATCAAGGGCTTATTGTAAATTGAAAATATGAATGCATATGGGGGATGCATATGAATGTTTCATATATCAGGAAAGTATATCACCATGATAACATGTGTTAATCAGTAGCGCCCTCTGTGCACTTGTTGTCAAATGAATATACTAGTTCTTTATTTATGTAGTATTGATTTAGTTCAAAATCCAATTCATTCGAAAAAGGTCCATGTGCAGTTTGGCAAGTGATTTTAGACAGTCATATCTTTCACCATGAGTACTTTCTGGCCATAAAAACAATAGTTTTTATTAAAACAATATGTTTTCTTTCAAGTGAAGTCCCCATGATAGTAAAATATCAATCCAACTCTCTGAAAAATTATGGATTAGGGCCCCACCCTGGCACAATTTAAAAAATGTTAGGCTTATTTTCTAAAAAGAGGATCTTGCTTTTCCCAATTTAAACATCAAAAGTTTCTTCTACACAATATGAACAATTTCTGAAAAGGGGATGCGTATTGAAATGCGTTAAAGTTAAAAACCGCATATCCCATGTTATTTTACTATAGGGAAAACTCATGCTATCCATTGTTTTCAGCATCATTTTGGTCATCGAAAATTGATATCTTCAAAACTAGACTTTCAATACAATTATATTTTTGAAGATGTTTTAGACCCCTTGTTGAATAATCTTTTCATGGAATAAAAATCAATAAAGGGAGATCCTCTTTTGAGTAAATACATGTATGTTCAATATTTTGAAAAAAATGTTGACATGGGGTCCCTATTCATAATTTTTCAAATTGTTCGATTGATATTTTTATCATTTGGGTACTTCACTTCAAGAAAGAAAACATATTGTTTTAATAAAAACCACTGTATTTATGCCCAGAAAGTACTCATGGTAAAATATATGACCGTCTAAAATCACTTGCTATACTACACATGGTCTTTTTATGGTAAACTTTGAAAATGTCAGTCATTTCTGTACATGGGCTTTTACATTAATGCCATAACTTGAAAATGATTGGAGGAATTTTGCTGATATTTTATCTGAACTTAGAAGCTTTGATATCATAGGCCAAGGGTAAAGTAATAGTAAGCCGTATATAGAAGAGACAGGTGAACAACTCTGACTTAGACCACTTGTTAAGATGGAGATTTCAACAATATTTAGTGTATTATTTTCAAAAAGCCATGGGGAGTTGATAGAAAATTGATAGTTTGTAGCTCTTACCTAAGATTGAAACTCGGTCAGACGATATAGAGTGAATAATGCTGTCTAAAAGAGAGAATTTCTGAAAACCTGCAATTGCTTGGCAAGTTCATTAGTAAACAAGTGATCTGATTGGTCACTGCTGACCTCCCTGACCTCCACCAGTGACAATCAGTTTCAGCTTGCCAGGCAATTGCAGATATCCATAGTTGTTGTTTTATATGCAGTATTATATGCAGTTTTTAGATAAAGATTTGAAAAAAACAATGATATAAGTTTGAAAAACACTTTGAAGAAGATTTTGGAGAGATTTGGGAATACAATTTGATACCAGTAAGGAGAACTAGTGCCAAGACTAAAAAAATTTGAAAAATTTTCAATCTTACTTGTGAACCTGTCTCTTCTATATACAGCTTACTATTACTTTTCCCTTGGCCTATGTTTGATATTATGAAGAAGAATGACAAACTATAACAGTTCGATGGGATTTGCCATGCCTTGGCATTGCCATTATAGAGTTTGAGATTTTCTAGAGGTATGGATGAATTTTGAGACATATACCTATTTAGCAAGCCTTGGATCAGTTTTGTTAGCCCAAAAGATTAGTACCCATTAAGTCTTGTTCTCTATGGACTATCCAAGGGATTTAGTATAGTAAACACTTTTAACTTGTGTAGATATGCCAGTTTTTATCATCGCCGTTTAAGGAAAACTGCTCATCAGATTTTCTCCAAATTCGCAGAGATGATAGAGGATATCAAGTACTAGAGCTGATTAACTTTTGGGCGGCCATCTTGTTTTCTGGCAGCCATTTTGAAGATTTTTCGAAAAATCTTGTCATCGCCATTTCAGAAAATCCGCTCATCGGATTTCCTTCAAATTTACACAAATGATAGAGGATATCAAGTACTAGAGCTGATTAACTTTTGGGCGGCCATCTTGTTTTCTGGCAGCCATTTTGAAGATTTTTCGAAAAATCTTGTCATCGCCATTTAAGAAAATCCGCTCATCGGATTTCCTTCAAATTTACACACATGATAGAGGATATCAAGTACTAGAGCTGATTAACTTTTGGGCGGCCATCTTGTTTTCTGGTGGCCATTTTGAAGGTTTTTCGAAAAATCTTGTCATCGCCATTTCAGGAAAACCGCTCATCGGATTTCCTTCAAATTTACACAAATGATAGAGGATATCAAGTACTACAGCTGATTAACTTTTGGGTGGCCATCTTGTTTTCTTGTTCTTGAAATTTGTAAACATAATAGGAGAACAGTTTTCCTGGTTCATACGTGTCTGCCTATTTGATGGTGTGAGCCTTGTTCTAATTCTGATCTAATTCATAAAATATTATAGAGGGAAATAGAGGAAAATAAGCATGACTAGTATAAATATTTGTCATGACTCTCATAAGTTTATCCTTCTCAAGGCTGTGATATTACATATTTTTGTGGTGATATTTTTTATATATTTTTTATGCTGATAAGATTTTAAAAATTGCATATGTAGCTTTAGTTTAATAGGAGTTTAAATGTTCGAGATCAAAGAATTTCTTGAAATAGAGTTCTCATGAAGGCTATAAGAATAATTGTTTCGATAATTGTATCAGTGGCTTATTACACATGTAGACATATCCTATTATCACAGATATGGATAAATCTTCAAGGGGGTCTTAGTTTTAACTTTTTGGATTATATGATATTCACCTTGTAACAAAGGACAATTACCCAAATGCGAGTAGGTAGTTACCAGTTTCACCACCAGCTGGCTGATTCGGGTCAATTAACATGGCAGGTATATAAGAAAGTTCCCTTAAACTTGAATATTATCAATTTAAGTGGCTTAATTTTAATATAACCCTTATGTGTCTGATACTTATACTAATGAAAATATGTCCAGTAAAGCAAAATATTATCTGTCCACTAAAAGAAAAGATATTTCATTTTTTGTGATTTTATAGCATGGGGTCTATGGGGAATCTCCCCGAGCTAGAAGTCACATTTTCAAAGAAAATTAATTTTTCAAAGTTGATAAACACTTTTTAAAACCACATTTCTAGATGTAATTTTACATGTAGATTTTAAATATGATATTACTTTGACTGAGTTTTGAATTTTTAATGACGTAAATCAAGATTATTTCTACTCGCATCTGGGTTATTGCAATTGTTGCATGTTTTATACATATTTATAGTATCATTCTTATATAATGCATTGGAGGTTTACACATATCTGGACATTTGAATCATTGTTTCAAAGTAGATAATAATTGTGCCAAATGGTTCAAATTTTAGATAATTGGTAGTGTTGTCTATTAATTTATTTTTCATGTAATTTCTTGAGGGAAACAATGTTTTGATTAATTTTGCACACAGTGCTATCTCAGGTGTTGTGTAATAGTATTATCAAACGTCTACCTAGTCCCTATCTTAAGAATACAGAAGCCTGAACTATAATAACTGTTTACAGTTTGATAAAATATCATTTAATAATCTATCAAGGTATCTACATACATTGTTCCATAACTTTAATATGTAGCATGTTATCCTCTAAGGCTTTATGCAAAGTTTGAATTTTATCATTAACAAATTATTTTTTTATATTTTTGCAACAGATATTCCAAATTTTCCAAATTTCCAGATTTTCATGCAATTACACTTGTAATTTAACATTTTCAAATATTTAACATTTTCTATGGCATCTTGTGATTTCATAATACAACTGGAAAAACTGTTTATGTAATTTAAAGAATTAAGACAAAGCAATTCTATTGAAAAGCCGAACTAATTCAGGATTACCATTAGCTTTAAATTAATTTGGGATTTTCAGTATATGTTGTTTGTTTTAATTAAACCAAAATGTAATTGTGCAATGAAAGCTAATTGTTTATAACGTTTGTATAATTTATTGTGCTTTGTCAAAAGTAAGTATTTACAGCTAAAGCGGTCCTCAATTGCAGTGAGTGGAATTAAAGATAGGATTTAAGATTGTCTGAAAGCTTTTAACAAGCCTGCTGGAACCATTGATTCTGAAGTATTGTTTGCATTTGTATTGTGAGGAGAGAGATCAAATATTGTCAGGTCTGTTTAGCAGTAAATCAAATTGGAACAAGTTTTAAACTCCATATTGGTTATTTCAGATTATGTAATAGATGCCTTGAATAGGTTTAGGTTTTGTTTAATAATTACAAATATGGAATATTTGTGAAACATATAGATCAATGGTAGAGGCATGAAACTATCAGTTGTATATGAGAAACTTCAGCACATTGAAGACTGATGCCATGATTTTGTTATAATCTGCAGATAACACTACAAAGGTGGAAAAGCTTGCGACCTCAGTAATTGCATGGAAAGTGATTACCTATATCTATATACATACTGTACCTGCTTAATACTTGTACTTTTTGAGAGAAAATGAGACTTATTTTAAGCCATATTTTAAGCATAAGTAACATAGGAGAATCAAAGCATTAAAGAATTATTTCAACAACATAAGAGAGGTGGTTTCAAGTAGGTGCAATTTTGATACAGTCAATTCCAACTTGTCATATTGTTGTGAGGAACAATTTATAAAATAGATACTTGAGAATCTGAATCTATTGAAACCTTTCAATGTAACATTGTCAGAGGTAAATATAAGAATAACATTTGTTGTGCAAAGGGTGAACTGAAGTAGTAGTTTAGTAACTGTAGGATTTTACATGTAGCAAAGCAATATATTGGACATAATCTGTGGGGCATACAGTTGACTGAATGCATCAACAGTTTTCAGGTAAGATGAAAATTCACATTCTTTTTTTAATTCTAGAACTGCTTTTTATGTGACAATTGATCAAGTGGAATTTGTATTTCATGACTGATTTTGATGAAGTAAGACACATCTTAAAGCATTATAAGTATATATTTTTTCTATGGAAACTTCAAATCTGCTTTTCTGATACTCAACCATTTTAGACTATATCTGATTACAAATATCAGATGCATCCCATACATTGTTCAGAGGTTTCACCAAGACTGTCATTGAACTGATAATTAAAAGGTACATATTGAATACAATACACTGATACAGTGCAGCATATGATTTTGTCTTGGGGCATTTATATGGGTCAAAGAAAAACTGAATGAGGGGTCAATGCAGTATGTGATGGGTTTACTTTTTGCTTTTATGTTCATTTGATAGTTTGATGAACTGATGAGTGTATTTTGAAAAGAGGGTTTTGACATACAGATATCATAAACAACTGGCATTGCCATTGTCCACCCTCTGAAATGTCCATAGTATATTTTTAAATGGTCTGGGATTGGATAAAAATAGTAAATATAATTGCTCACCCAAACCCAAACTTCAGCAAATGTTTGGAGATATTATATGCTTACCCCCTTTACAAATACATTATTGAACAATGGGCCTGATTAATATGAGTTTCTGGTGTAAATTCCAACTCAGATGATTATTCTCATCTCATATATTCAGATTATTTTTATGTATTTTATTTTTCTCTTAGATAAAACATGAAGCCGGAGTTCAGTTTTTTAATCGATTATTTTCTGTATAATTGGACTCTTTCTTAAAATGTCACTTTGTCATTTGATTCACCATTTCACTATTTAAATGTGGGAGAATCATAAAAACAGGTAAAAAGCATTATAAATGTTTAAAAACATATTAACAAATGAAGTGATCATTAAAACAAGAGAGAATTGTAAAATAATGACAGAACAATTTAAGTCATGAAAGGATGATTTAAAACATGGAAGATTCATTTCCTGTTTCCTTGATGATTACCCTCTATCTCTACAAAGAAGGGTGGCCTTGGGAATATTTGATTTACAGGAGCACCCTATGCAGACAGAGCCTGTGGGAAATATTGGGTGCGGAGCAAATGAGCGGAGGGTGCGGAGCTAACGGTTATTTTTGAATTTAAATTTGGGATATTTCTGAAACTAAGCCGTTTTGGGACTTCAAATATACCAAGATATGTGTATTTGACACCAAATATCAATACAATTGTGAAAATAGTAGCGCAATTCATTCTATAGCGACGCAGTGTGCCTTAAACCTTTCCCAGACCTATATATTTTGAAATCATCCTTTTAATACTGAGTCCCCAGCATTCATAAAAAATGGTGTTCAAGTTGCACTATCTATACAAATTATTTTTGCATCTTGGAAGCCAGGCAGTATCTGTGTGATTTTATAAAAATTCGGAAATGTTCTTCAGATATGAGCCCCCTCTAAATATTGGGTGCGGAGCAGCTCCATAAACGTAGCTCCGCACCCAATATTTAGAGGGGCTCATATCTGAGGAACATTTCCGAATTTTTATAAAATCACACAGATACTGCCTGGCTTCCAAGATGCAAAAATAATTTGCATGGGTAGTGTATCTTGAACACCATTTTTTATGAATGCTGGGGACGCAGTATTAAAAGGATAGTCTCAAAATATATAGGTCTGGGAAATGTTTAAGGCATACTGCGTCGCTATAAAATGAATTGCACTACTATTTTCACAATTTTATTGATATTTGGTGTCAAATACACATATCTTGGTATATTTGAAGTCCCAAAACGGCTTAGTTTCAGAAATATCCCAATTTTAAATTCAAAAATGACCGTTAGCTCCGCACCCTCCGCTCATTTGCGCCGCACCCAATATTTCCCACAGGCTCTGTCTGCATAGGGTGAGGAGGATCAAATGAACGCTGAGCAGGGGTTTATTTTCTTTTGTGAGAACTGGACACTGAGGCACAGTAGAGATCAAGAAATAAAAATAAATCCGTCATTATTTACTCCTTGTTTCAGGTGTAAACATGAAGTAAATAAAATACTAGATGCTACATTGAATAGAGGTAAGAACAGTCAATACAAATAAATCGGCATATTCAATGTGTGTGTTTTGTGTTTTTGTGTCAGATGCTTTCATGTCTCATCTTTTATGTTTTATTGAAACATTGTGGTTGTTCTTCACATTTATTTCAAGTTTTAAAATTGTTTAATATTCTTGTGTTTGAATTTTTTTGTGGATGAAATTTTATTGGATATGTAATACCTATACCTGATTTATATTTGCTACATTCCAAAATGTTTTTTTTAATCTTATTGACAAATACATAGTCTAACATACATAGACATATTTTCAGAGTAAGTATTATTTGGTATCATCAATTGCTTGCTTCACTATTTTCCACTCTGTTTCACCTTTGATATCATGTTTTATTCAGATGAGTGTTGGTTTAAGAAATTCATTTACAGAATCTAGAGATGTCATTAGATGGGCTTTATAGCAAATAAAATATCATGGTGTTCCCTGCATACGATGCATATCAATGGGAAATAAAGTGGATTTAGCAAGGAACATGATGATATATAAAGTTAATTCTTGAGATTTTATGAAAAGCAAGAGAATCATTCTCTTTCTTATTAATGTAGAGAGGAATAGCATGGAATTAATATGTCTAGTATGATATTTTAGTTAGGAGCAAATGAGTGCATGTATAATATTCAAACTACACTTTAAGATTTCCTTTATGGATCAGATAAGGATTAAAGACCTACTTAAAGGATAATCTAGAGTTTAATTCAGAAAACAAAGAGACCTTTGGTCAGTTAGTATTTGGATCTAGCTGTACCACAACTGCATCTCTTGTTCTAGCTGTCATCTCTTCCATATGGTGAGACACATTGGAGGTATTCTTCAGAAAATATAGAGTTAATGAATCTTGATGCAGAACAATTAGAGTTTTGTTTGTGTTTGGTCATCTAAAACAAGAAATGTTTTGTTAGGATCTGTAAATCCTTATGGTCCTTATGGGTCATTATGGGGTAATGTTGATTTTGGACTTCTCTTGGAACATGTTGGAAGTCCATGTGTTGATTCACACAATTATACAATATACTTGGATACTAATTCAGCTTTGTGTTGCAGATCTACAGTTCTGGTTGAGAGTGTTATAGAATTGTGGAGGGAGAGAGAAAACCTTTGAAGCTTACGGTACTTAGCAACCAGCAGATATACATTCCTGGGTGTCACACCTCTGGTAAGTTATATTTGATATCCTGGATTTGTCAAAATCCTTTTTATGTCACCACCACAAGTGGGGACATATTGATCATAGTCTCCAACTTTTTTGTGGACAGTGTTTGGTAGTTTGTGTTCAGCAATTGGTGATGGTGTTCGGCATTCAGTGGTTAGCGTCTATTATTTTATGTTGTGGTCATATAGACATTCAATTTCACAAAATCATGATATTGTATCTGAGGACTAGAGTGCTGTAGGCAACACTATATTGTGGAATATTACATAAACAGTATGTGCAGGAGATGTGATATGAATTTAGATTTGATTGATGAAGTCATTAAAACTGACACTTTACAAGGTAGTGTGCAATTTATTACATGTATTGTTTTCTTTAATCTTGTCTCTCAGCACTATCTAATGAAACTATGTTAAGATCTGAGATATTATTTACAATTAAAGCATTACTTGCACAAATTGCACATATAACATTCTCAATTCACATTCAACCAATGTGAATTGGATACTTCATTATTCTCAAAAATTCTTGGCTATTTTCCAACTTACCATCAGCAATATTCAATGTCATAAAATATAATGAATATAAAGAATGTGATTTGCAAAAAAACTGAGAATTTGTGTGCTATTGTAAGGTGTGTGCTCTCAAAAGGTGTGATATTAAAAGGTTACTAGGTTATATTTAAAGGTAATTGTGATATAAAAGGTAACTCTCTGATATTGAACGGTAACTTTGATTAAAAAAGGTTAGCATGTACTGTCTGATATTAAAATCAGTTTCAATCTTTTTGGGTTTCAATAATCTTGTCAATGAAAATGATGATTTTAGAATTTTGTGTTCATTTTTCTTCTCACTTTTCCCATCTATATTTATGTAAAACCATGGGCCTCTTGAAAGCCCATGGTAAAACGTGGCACATCATAATTGAAAATGATCTAGTCTGATTTCAGTTTTCAATAATATGTATACATATCATTTAAACACTTGACACTATTCTACATTTGATGTTTTTTTTCATTGGTATTAATTACAAAATAACATGTATTAGTACTTTGGTAAAAAAACAAAAGTTAAATATGTGTTTGAAGTTTGTGATAACAAGTTATTAATGGTTTTAAAACTTCATTTTTGGAGTATGCAAAATGTTTCATATTTGAACTATTTAGTGTACAGTTATGCCTAGCTGTTCAACAGTCAAATCTGCCTTATCAAAATTTGCCTTTTTCTGAATGATTGTCCAAGGTGAAAAGTATAAAGTTTGTCAGAAACTACGTGTTGTTGCCTAAAACAATGGCATGACTTTGAAATCCTATTAATTACTAATTAAAACACACCCAGAGTTCTACAAGGATATTGAATGACACTAATTAGTGCATGATAAATTAAACCACCTCAATATCTGCTTTAGGGAATTTTAATCACTTTATCTGTTGCTTATCTGGTGAATTTGAATTTAATGAATTTGACAGATTGGGATAAGATGCCTCATTTGAAACTCTTTAATGTTAGTTAGATATTGGGGATGGATTCAGAGAGAAATTTCACTGCAGTTTTAGTGTAACATAATATAAGAAGGGAGTATGTAGAATTTGTGTCTTTAGCAGAATATAATGTGAAAGTGGATTGAGATCCTGGTGTTTGAATACAATCAATACAAAACAAAAATAACTTCAATATTCTCCCATATTCATTCTCCCAGCTCACAATAATAGCAGGCCTGTCAACTTGGGAACACCTAACATGAGTGACTTGGAAATGTTGAACACCTCCCTTCAAAATGTGGACACCTTGGTCCAAATCTGAACACCTTGATCCAAATTTTGAACACCTTGGTTTAAATTTTATTACATCTTGCCAAATTTTGAACACCTCAAATTTTTCGCGCTCGTAACGCTCGCATTTCAAACATCCGTCAACGGGGGGACGGGGGGGGGGGGGGGGGGGGGGGGGGGGGGGGGGGGTAGGTACGAAAATTCGAACGGAATGCGTGACATATCCGTAATTCGCGTGAAAAGTCCGAACGAAATGCGTACGTAGACGATCTTTTTTAGAAAATTTTCTACAGAAATATTTTTGCGTGACAATTACCAGGTAAAATGCGTATTTGCGTGACATTTTCTGTCACGCAAAAATAAATGGCGTGACTTCAAATTCTTCAGCAAATGCGTGACAAATACGCAAATTGCGGGACAGTTGACAGGCCTGTAATAGCCATCCTCTTATGATCAATAGAGCAAGCCATAATATACAGTATTTAAAGAAAACATTCAGAAAATAGAATACAATTTAAACATTTAATAGTTCTGTATACATCATGAAAAAGGATGTAAAAATCTACAAATCCTCGGGCTCAGTTGTTTTCAAAGAGCATTGCAAAAGTTAATGTACACATTATCCAAATACTGTACACCCGGATAACTGACTGTTACTGATAACACATTTTGTTTCTCCAACACTTGAGAATCACTCGAAGTTTGCCCATTGATATCACACAGTTCATATATCAGGGCTGTCAACTTGGGACCACCTAATATGAGTGACTTACAAATGTTGGACACCGAAGTCCAAATCTGAACACTTTTGTCCAAATTTTGAACACCTTTGGCCAACTTTTAAACACCTTTGGCCAAAGTTTGAGCACCTTTGCTAAACTTTTATAACCTCAAATTTTTCGCGCTCGCTACGCTCGCGATGTCGTTAACGGGGGGGGGGGGGGGGGGGGGGGGGGGGAGGTACGAAAATTTCCAATGAACATGCGTGACATATACGGGATTCGCGTGACAAATCCGAACAAATTGCGTTCGTTTTTTTCCGACGTTCGTATTTTTACCGTATCATAAACATATTTTGAAAAATTTTTTACAGAAACATATTTGCGTGACAATTACCAGGTAAAATGCGTATTTGCGTGACATTTTGTGTCACGCAAAAAAAGCTGGCGTGACTTCAAATTCTTCAGCAAATGCGTGACAAATACGCAAATTGCGGGACAGTTGACAGGCCTGATATATAGGCAAAGTAGCTAGGTAATCACAAATGACAGATATCATATAGACCTCTACGAGTCTCATGTGTTCATGTAATACATGAAATGTTGATACATTTATATTTTCGTGAAATATGGAAAATGTTTGCGATGCAATTGATCTTGTATTGGATTGACTGGAAATACATTTTGCGGAATATCAGGGGTAAGTCTGTGTCGCTTTGAAGTAGATGATAGTGAAAATAATTAATATGCCATTTATTTACATGTTAAGAGGTTATCATGAGTTAGTCAGTCGGTATATACAATGTTTCAATTTTTACGAAGCTCTGAAGCTCAATGATTGTTTCTGTCAGAGGGGATGGAGGTGGCATAAGTCCATAGAAATGTCCACACTAGAAAATAAATGCATCCTCCTTTATTTATGTTTAAATTCATGGAAAGAAGTGAAATACCCTTGGACCAAGGATGGAGAAATGGGTTTGTGGGCGGCCCATAGCCAAGGGGGGAGTTTGAGTGAATCAAAAATCTTTCAAAAACATGCAAATTTTCACCAGTCTGAGCACTTTTCAGTGATTTTGGGCATCTTTGGGGGCAAAGTTGTCAAATGTGAACCCCCAGGAAATTTTCAAATAGTGAACCCACCATTGGCAAATCCTGAATACGGGCCTAAATATTGCCATGTCTAAATATTATATCACAAGTAAACCAATTTATTTAGGGTACCATGTTTGAAGCAGGTGGAACAATATTGAAATTGTTATTTCATCAGAAAGTTATATTTATATTCCTCATTTGATAACATTTTACATTTATTTTCATCTACATAATGAATTAACACAAAGCTGCTAATTACTGGATGGTGCTTGTCATACATGAGGGGTATTAAGCATGTGGATTAACTGCTAATCCCTTTCCAATGAGTCTTCCTGGATATTACAGAGGAAACTAAGATTAACTGAAACAAGCACCTGTGATAAATAAATCCCTTTTACAAAGAGAAATATGTTAAGTAATTCACTTTGTTTAGAACTGCAGGTTAACTTTGATATAAAATAAACACACTTGCTATTTTGGTTTGCTACTTAATAATTTTTTCTATTTTCAGTAAATTAAAAAAAATCGATAGCACGAAACTCTTAAAACCTGACTTAATCAGTTGAAGAATGCTATTTTAGGTGAAATTAGGCTATTTTAATGCTCTACAAATGAAATCTGAGACTTAAACACCTTTAAAAATTCAGATTGTATAGAAATTCTGTAGGTCCATGATAGTCTAAAACAAAAAAGGTATAAATATACCTACTTCATATAATATAAGCATAGATTTGAAGAGATTTTATAAGTATGTGTTGACAGGGTGTTAATTGCTTCATATCAGACATGTCAGGGATTAATATGTACATGTACCATCATATCACAGATTTGAAGATATCACTCCTTTGACAAATTTCAATGAAAACCTCCTTATGTAACCAATAGAAGCTAAACAAGGTACAGATCATAGCATTTACAGATCATAGCATTTATCGCTGAGCATTGATCCGTAGATGAATCCTTAGATTGAAATATTCATTTCAGGATGAAATTCTCTTCACTGTAAAATTCAATCACAATATTAAAACCACAAAAGTCTGTATTTGACTGAACACACAGAAATCGATAGAATAAGATTAAACTTGTGAAAAATGTAATTAGCTTTTACTTATTAGATTATCAGTTCCTTTACTCAAACTTGATCAAATATTTGAGTCATTTTGGCTTCCAGGGATTTTGGCTTCTGTGATGGTTTTATAATGTCTAGCACGAACACACTAGACTTTTGAATGTTATATATGCCAGTACAGTATTTGGGATTAGAGAACACAGACTAGAAGTGACACTTTAAATGTGCTAATTTCTCAGATATTTAGTTTTTTAACTTGATTTAAAAAAATAATGTCTAGAATTAGATAAATATTGAAAGTAATTTTGTAATGAGACTGGATTAGACAATGTGATTAGTCTGTTAGTTCAGTATTTAAGTTGAAAAATTCTGGGTAAATTTAGTTCACTTTTGGGATATCACAGAGGAAGAAAGACACATCTGCAAACTTTGAAACAACATTGCACTGTATACAATATATAGAATTGGTAAGTCACTTAATGAATCATTTATAATCAATGAAGATGTGCATTGCCTCTTCGAAATAACAAAGATTATTTGTCTTTTATTATGTTACTATGGGAAAAAGTTTTGCAATATTATGATATACATGTACATCATTAGGGAACATATTCATGATATGGCATAGGGAATATAATTCATGATATTATATAATAGATTTTATATAGGGAACACAATTCGTGATATTACATAGTTAACATAATTCATGAAAAGTTTCATATAGAAAGCCTGTGAAAGGGAAGAGATCAAATAAAACGATTAATGTGTTTTTTATTTTGAAAATACCACCTTTTTGTATAGGGGCTCAAAGTAAATTCCCATTTAACAAACAGCAAAATAAAGGAGTAGTTAGTCAGAAATTCATTGAAGTTTATTACCACTGAGAATTACCATTTCATTATTCCTTTATTCTCTATCAACATGATCAACAAAGATCACAGGGAGATGTTTTAGGAGATTGTGAACTTAACATAAAAATAATCAACAATAGAACAATACGAGAGTTGATGCCTGAGATCAAACTTACGGTACTTGTAAAAGTGGACCTCGTCCTCATTACTGGTCTTATTCTCAGAAAGTGGGCCTTATTTGAAAAAATGACTAAATTTGTTTTCCACACAAGCTTTGGTTTTGGAGGATTGCTATTTTTTTGTCAATTAGCAATAAACTCAAAGTGTTAATGATGAATTTGAAGATCAAAACATTTGTTATTGTCAGAGTCTTTGTGGTGAACTAATGCATTCAGGGTAATTTCACAACTATTTAAATGTTTTGGGGCATCGATCTCATTGATCTTCTTGTGATTGAAGAAAAAATGATGTGCATGTTACATGCTAAATATATTAGACTGAAAGTCTACAATATTAACACCCCATAACATCAAAGAAGCCATATATGTTAAACCCTCACTCATGCAATAATTCAGATTGTGATGTATCAATGACATGAATTGCTGAAGCCTCTGGCTAAATCCTAAGGTATAAAGTACTGGTAGGTTTGGATCAATGTTTTTTAACCCAGCGGGTATTAATGCTTTAATAGTTTTTCCTAGCAGACATTCACAGGGAACATTTGAGAGATCAATGAATCGACAAATTCAGTTAAATATATTTCTTAGAAAAATTACTTTTATTAGAAGCTGAGCTTTGGCGAAAAAAGTGAACTTTATATGTAGGTTGAACAGTGTATAAATTTTTTAAGTGTCAAATTGAGTGAAAAAAAGATGAAGTGCTCAATATTTTGAATGTGGTAGGTCTAAACGAGTGGAATATTTAAGAACAACTTGCAAGGTAAGACAAGGACGCTAAAATATTTTTTGATCATAAAATTTGAAATAACATTTCATGAAATCACAAATGAGTTTGATTATTGTGATAAACAATAGCACTTTTAATCATCAACATATAATCTCCTTTATCATATTAATCATCAACAATATAAATGAAGAACAGATTGGTATGTACTTTTTTTCTTTTTCTGTGTATAGAATGAGTAGTGTCTGATCAATGCACATTAGTAAGATTTGTAATTCTTTATTTTTAACTATAGGCTCTTGTAGTATACAAAATACATCAACCTTCAAAGAGCCATATCAGATAGAACGAAGGGGATACATTTTAGAGATATTTTGAGGTGTCTAAAGCTTACAGTACATGTAAGAATAAATTGGAAAGATAACAAATGCTTTATGCTGCAATCTTGGATATAAATTGAGGCAAAATATGAGTCACACCAAGAAAGGGAAATATCTTTACCATGTGTACAATAGTATAATATCTCCTGTGACTACAATACTTATTGTGTACAAGATACAACAGTACTAAATTCAATGTTTAACAATTATCTGGCTTGTTGGGTCAGTCAGGTTCTGGTCATCTTGATCCATCAAGGTGTTGGAGTCACTGAAGGAATACACTGATCAGAATGGGTTCTGTTGGTGGGCTATGAGATACATTTGTACCTACATTTTACAGTGCACTTACTAAAAAAGTTAATATTGTTATAAGGCATATTAAAACACAATAACTGAACTATAAGAATCCTGAACACTTTGAAATAATGACATTTTAATGCATTTTTTATGGCTATGGTGTATTTAGGCAGTTATTATTTTTAGTGGATGAGTCTAAATCCTGATAATAGGATTAATACTAGTTGCCAATCATAGGTCTAGACAGACTTAATGGAAATTGTGACAGGGAACTCAGTATGATTACATGTCAGTACAAGATAATCCGTCCAGTCATCTTTTAAGGTTATATAATAATCTCGGTTGTAGCTCAGTGTGTATACAAGGCTGTTGAATCTCAATATTCCTTCTCCTCTTTAAAATTTAAAATTTGTTAAAGTAGACATGGGCATAGCCAGGGGGATGGGTGCACCCCCATAACCAATACAATAAAACCATTAGATAGAAGAAAACAGCTTTGAAATGCTTTTTATTTAAAGCTTCCAGCTCAATTTTTCAATTCAAAACAAATCTTATATTTTGCCTTGCCTTTGTCATGATCGCACCCCCCCTGACTGAAAATCGAAAAAAAAATTGGCACGCGCACTCCCTGACTGAAAGCTGGCTACGCCCCTGAGTATATGCCTAATTGTTAAAGTTTCCACTTCTACAGTACTTATTACATATTTTGTTCTTGCAAATTTGAGGTGGGGCATATTTTGGTCAGTAAGGTACCTATTATTTTGCAGCTTGTAAAAGTTTGATAGGGTAATATGTTCACCCTTACCCTACACAGCGCACTAAGACCCATGTCATATAAGATGGAGATCACATCAATACTGTTGTACATTTCTAATTCAATTTTAAATGTGTTTCAGGTAGTGTTACTGTGACAAACTGAGAAAGAATGGGTTGCACTGTCAGGAGATGTGGTGGATATATGGAGATATGCTATGTGCTACTGGGGGCATTGTGCTGGATGCAGATAGCCAGGGCTTATGTTGTAAATGACCCTGAGGCCAGTCAAGAGATTGATTGTAAGTCAATTCTTTATTGTATTGAGTATTTCCCAAACCATGACAATTATGATAATCGAGATAATTGAAGTATTTTATGTATTTGTTTTATGTAGAATGTGAAGAGGTAAGTAAAAATGGTCAGTTGTCTTGTCATGATTGCTAATGCTAACATGGGCTATTGGGCTATCATGGACTGATTGATATCATTAGATAATATAAGAAGCTGCATTACAATGTACATGTATCTCGTATGTAATTAATATTTCAAAAATGATGTGAAATATACACTATTGTGTAAGGTCTGACATGTTGACCACATATTAGCATTACCTGCTTTATGTACTCATCATTGCTGTCTGTTCTTCCAGCTATTACATGCTGGACCTGTCCAGAAAAAGCAAACAACCATGCTTGCAACAGATGGGCCCCCGATGTTCCTTGCCATAAAAGTAAGTCAAAATATAACTACGGCCAAATCTCTCGTCTTTCTCTGTTTTCTCTGTAAATGTGTGAAAGTGAGGGGAAATAAGTTATAGGCTTCAGGCAAGCCTAATTGTCTGCTTTCCCCAAAACTGGTAAATTGTGAAAACATTAGTACTGTTCTTGTGTCAAGATAAACTGTAAATCGATGATAAAAAAGAAAGTGGCTTTTAGCTTATTACATATCATTTCACCATATTCATTGTTGGGGTTTATCTCACAATTCATTATTGAGGTTTTTATTGCCATATTCATTGTTGGGGTTTGTCTCAACATTCATTATTGAGGTTTCTGTTTCCATATTCATTGTTGGGGTTTATCTCACCATTCATTATTGAGGTTTCTGTTGCCATATTCATTGTTGGGGTTTATCTCACCATTCATTATTGAGGTTTCTGTTGCCATATTCATTGTTGGAGTTTATCTCACCATTCATTATTGAGGTTTCTGTTTCCATATTCATTGTTGGGGTTTATCTCACCATTCATTATTGAGGTTTCTGTTGCCTTATTCATTGTTGGGGTTTATCTCACCATTCATTATTGAGGTTTCTGTTGCCATATTCATTGTTGGGGTTTTTCTCACCATTCATTATTGAGGTTTCTATTGCCATATTCATTGTTGGGGTTTATCTCACCATTGATTATTAAGGTTTCTGTTGCCATATTCATTGTTGGGGGTTATCTCACCATTCATTATTAAGGTTTCTGTTGCCTTATTCATTGTTGGGGTTTATCTCACCATTCATTATTGAGGTTTCTGTTGCCATATTCATTGTTGGGGTTTTTCTCACCATTCATTATTGAGGTTTCTATTGCCATATTCATTGTTGGGGTTTATCTCACCATTGATTATTAAGGTTTCTGTTGCCATATTCATTGTTGGGGGTTATCTCACCATTCATTATTGAGGTTTCTGTTGCCTTATTCATTGTTGGGGTTTATCTCACCATTCATTATTGAGGTTTCTGTTGCCATATTCATTGTTGGGGTTTTTCTCACCATTCATTATTGAGGTTTCTATTGCCATATTCATTGTTGGGGTTTATCTTACCATTGATTATTAAGGTTTCTGTTGCCATATTCATTGTTGGGGTTTATCTCACCATTGATTATTAAGGTTTCTGTTGCCATATTCATTGTTGGGGGTTATCTCACCATTCATTATTGAGGTTTCTAATTGCCAATATTCACTGTTTGTGGAGTGTTTATCTCACCGATAATTGTTTGAACTTCTATCTGGGACTTCTATAAACATTTCTTGTTTGAACTTAATCGATCTCAGCGTTCATTGTTGAGGTTAGTTAATTTTCATCTGTTCATACAGCTGTATGACCTGTGGAAATAGATTGTATGAATGCTGATCTTTGAACATTTTCTTCAGATCATACTGTGTGTCACACCCACCACAGATATGACAGTCTCAGACATAAAACTATCTCAGTCACCAAGACATGTGCCAGAGCATCTGAATGTACCCACAATACTGCTGGCTGCACAGAGACAGATGTTGTAGGCATTTATGTAAGTATATGGCTCTATATGCAGATCAGATTTATTGAAACTTGTCTATTATCATCCTATTATCATGGTGTTTGTATTATTAGAATGTACGTTTTGGATGCATATTTTGCAATCTGTTTTGCTTTAAAATATATTCTGTTTCTGAATTTCTGAAACGCAATTTGTATAAATAAAATGGTATAATAAACACTAATGTAATATGTTTAAACAGAATGCTTGTTTATTACTCTGTATATCATTTTAAAATCAGTCTTTAATGATTCATTTGATTCCCACATCGGATAACAACACAATTACCATATATGTACTTTATATTGCAGGACTGTATCTCATGCTGTAACAAGGCCTACTGCAATAGAGCAATCCCCTCAAACCATAGCGAAGCTCTCAGACTTACTGTACTTAGTGGTTCAGACAATCTGAAGCTAAGCAAACACATAGTGTGGATTATCTCCATAGTGTATATAATAAGATACATATTCAGGACTGATTTATAGATCAGAGATACAACACATATTGTTATTGTGTATATACATATTGTTTAATATGCCCTTTCATTCAACGATATCATGTCAAGTGAAAAGCAGTCAGTCCAAATAGTGCAAAGATGTAACATCTCTAAAAATGTGTTCATACATGTTGATTGTATTGTGTTTTGTCACAAATTTCGTAAGAGAATGAGGCATATGATCTTATATACAACAGCAATACGTCCAATCACTAAGATAATCTCTGTTTATGTGGTGCTAGATCTCAACTTTTACTTATCTGCTGCACAAGTGTAATACTGGCCAAGAGTGCACAGACATTTTGCAACAGTTTAATCCTGACATAGGTGCACAGACATTTTGCAACAGTGTAATCCTGGCCTAAGCAACAGTACAAATCTGGAATAAGGTGTACAGACAATTTGCAAAAGTACAATCCTGGTCACAACACAGACAACTGCAAATGTACAATTCTGGACTACAATGAACAGACATTTTGCAATAGTACATCCCTGGTCTACAATGCACAAACAGTATGCAATGGTGCTATTTTGACTAAAACGTACAGACAATTTGCAAAGTACAAAGACATTTAGCATAGATTATTTAGTACAGTGCAGTACAATGTACAGTTGACATTTATTTTATACAAACCATCCTATATCAGAAAAATGACAATCAGAAAATAGTGTATACTGTACTCCGGGTATTGTTTGCGTGCGATTTAATTTCGCTTTGTTCGCGAATGTAGTAAAATCGCAAACATTTATCGTCGCGAAATTTGTCTTTTAAATCCCCGGGGATTTGACCCGGGACTTTTGATATGTTTCGTTCGGTGTAGAACGTTTCAACCAGTGTTGTTGGACGATAATTAATATGGGGTACTGTTCTCAATTTTATATTAACAATTGATGTACTTACTAAGCTCATGCAAATGTAAAAAGGCATGTAAGTGTATTAATATTATCAATTTAGAGTTTACAGAGCCGGAGGAAAAAATTCAACTTGTGCAATCCGCGAAATGTCATCAATTCAAATCCGCGAAATTAAATAGCCGCGAAATTGCAATTTTGAAAAATCGCGAAATTTTGTAGCGTCAAAATTTACCCGGAGTACAGTATTGTGACATTTGTCACATTTGCAACTGAGGACAATGTATGTCTCACAACAGACACCCTCATTACTCATTATTTATAGCCTTTATATTGTATAGTATGTACATAGTATAAATAAGAGTAATTTATATTGCATATTAGCCTTGCCCAAGTTGGTCTCTTTTACTTATTTTGATTTCTATAAATAATTCAAGATATGATAAGTAAAAAATACCGACTTAGGCAAGGCTACTTGCATCTGTCTGTAACTGGGATTATTTCGACACTTTTTTATTTTTATTTTGGTGACTGCTAATACATAGTGAAGTTGTAATTTGATTGATATATAGCCAATCTAATCAATATGAGATTGAGTTTCTGTCCTGTTTATGTATTTAGCAGTCTTTCTTTTTAGCAGTCTTTCCATTGATGTATCACACTCTGCAGACGATAAAGGTATGACAACCCCAGGCTATTATGGAAGTTAGTTTCTGTCATGAAATCATAATGAGGTCAAAGTAAAACTGGTTACAATATATTGTTTTGTAAAATAGTTAAAATGTTAAAAAATATCATTTATTTAGTTGTTTCATAGTAAAAAAAACTTGTTTGTTGTTATTGTCATAAACCAATAGAAATAAATGATACACAGGGTGAGCCAAAAAAGGTAACCCAAACAAACTTAATAACCCAGTCATTCAGTATGGGTTTAAAATCATATTGGCACAATTGAACCTTGTTCAATGTTCTTTCATTCAACCAAGTTTCATTGGTCTATGCCAAATGGTCACGATTTAACGGCCATTTTACATAACATGCTCAAAATGCCGGTCTTGGCAAACTTTAACACATCAGATGAAGTTTTCTGACTACATCACAGATATCTTATATATATCTTGACATATCTGTTAAAACAATTTGTTTCAACTATCTGATGACTATAATGTTGTTAATATGTCAATAGGGAGTTTAAGCTTGCATATAAAATCGAAACACAAACCTGTATGTATGACCAAGCGCCCATACAAACCTATCGCTTAAATAACTTCTGTTCGCTTTTAGGTTGTGAAAACAGTGCAAGCTTTAACTCCCTATTATCTTAGAAATAGCCTCAAAGGTAAAACTTTGGGGTTCATGTTGGGTGATTTTAGTATAGTCTTGGCATTTGGAGCATGTTATGTAAAATGGCCATAAAATCGTGACAATTAAAAATTGACTAATGAAATACTGTTAGGCAGAATGTCAGATATTCATGGTTTCGGGGTATTTGTGATATGGGTGAATATACCATACTCACCTGCAGTATGTGGCATATTCCGCAGGTGAGTCAACATTCACTTTACTCACTCAAAATAAAACCCACTGGCTTGGAAAATCAAAATTTCCCCTTAATAGATCCACACCCTTTAGAAAATCAATATTTCCCTCTTTATAAATGTCCATGGGAATTCTTTCGGAGAATTTTCAAATAAAAGCTGGATGGGTACATTAGCAAGAAATTCTCGTAGAATATCACCCTTTAAAGCATCACAAAGCTAACATTTCTTTATACATTATTATACAGTTTATTTTATTCATGTGGTTGATAAATGCAAAACAATCTTGTACAAAATTGAGAATGGAATTGTTTGCAAAAAGCTATACTATTCAATACTACTCTAAATCCACTACAGGAACTACTAATAAATTATTTAGAGTATGAAATATATATTTCACTGGTGTACTTATAAATACGAACAATCAGACAGATTATTTTAACAATGATTTCGATACAAGCAATTTTCTCCATCACTGTCATTTACTCACGATGAAGCTGCATTTGCACAAACATATTTTTATTTACTATAAAATCACCAGGCCTATGTCACTTCTTTGCGACTCCTAAATATAACATCTCACGAGAATTCACTAATTCTGTAGCCATATTTAGCTTAGTTATTTCATAACTGATCAAAAAAGAAACCTTATAATCTACATTACAGACTTCTAATCATTACACAGAAAACCTTCACACCTACAGCTACAAAGTGTATTTGACACATAATTGAAATTGTGTCAATCAAAGAAACCAGAGACATTCTCCAACATATCAACCAAAGTGCCATCTTTCTTTAAATCTTGAACTAAAACACATCCCAGGTACATTCTCAGTTTGAGATCAACTTGAAAGTGAACCATTAACTAAATGCCTGGAAATGTAACAGGAGCTGAGGCCCTCCCGAACCCAAGTTCACTGCAAGATATTGGAAATCCAATGCTACACAATATTCACAATATTCATCCATTAAAGGTACTCTGATCTTTGTCAAACATCACTATGTCAGTGTCCTTATACATTGTCACTCGATCTTGAATTTGGTTTAGTTCATAATAAGTTATAAAGCAGGTCTGCATTATTCACTGCAACCTTTCCTGTTTGAAATTAAATGACCCTGAATGTTAGAAGTCTCATACAATGCAGTGCACATTGTAATTCTATTGTATTGGGAGTGTTGATCGTATCCTCCTATATACACTACTATTGTAACACCAAACCAATCTGGAAAATAGTGAATGTATAATATCATACCAAATGAGTGCCAATCATTTTACTTTGGGTTTGACAAAGCTTACTGAAGATCATTATACTGTAAAGGACAAGGGTTTCAATAAATTGAACTGTTGAGAGGTCGATGGGTCCCACAAAGCACATACAATTGTATTGTATGTCGAGAGGCTATTTTACAAGTCTTGGTTTCACAAAGCTTACATGTTGAGGATCATTATACTGTATAAGTAAAAGGCTTCAATAAATCGAACTGTTAAGGGGTCGATGGGTCCCACAAAGCACATATTGTATGTTGAGAGGCTATTTTACAAGTCTTGGTTTCACAAAGCTTACATGTTGAGGATCATTATACTGTATAAGTAAAAGGCTTCAATAAATCGAACTGTTAAGGGGTCGATGGGTCCCACAAAGCACATATTGTATGTCGAGAGGCTATTTTACAAGTCTTGGTTTCACAAAGCTTACATGTTGAGGGTCATTATACTGTATAAGTAAAGGGCTTCAATAAACTGAACTTTTAAGGGTTGATGGTTTCACAAAGCTTACCTGTTGAGGGGTCATAGGAGGGCATTTCCAATTATAAAGGTAATACTGCAGATTTCCATCACCAATTCCAAACTTAAGCTTCTCCAGAAATTCTTTGTTGTCCATCAGATCCAGTGCATTGAAAACATCAAATCCCATCTGCAATAAAATATAAAATGTCCAAATACAATGAGATATGTAATGTCCAAATACAAGTATGCAATGTCCAAATACAAGTATGCAATGCACAAATACAATACAAGTATGTAATGTACAACTACAAGTAAAACATGAAATGTAAAGACACAAGTTAAATATGTAATGCACATATAAACTAGTAAGTAATACTTGTATGCTTAATGTTCAAATCATTCAGGTAAAACTTAAGCATGTTGATTTGTAAACTTAATACAGGTAATGATGCAGGTAAAATTTGAATGTTTACTTTTCATTAATATCATTCAGACAATACATGCACCTTACTTATTTAACACAGGTAACACTTACATTTTTAGCTGTGATGAGTGCATCCTGCATGAGGTCTGGGAGTGTTGTCCTCGTACTAACATTGTAGAATGAATAGGCAGCTTTCAGACTCTTGTGCTGGGGGTGGTGCATCACAGTGGAGGGCAGTGTATAGAAACTAACAAAATCTCTAATCTTACCATCAATCTGAAACATTCAGTTCAGGGATTACATGTATTGTTTGAAATATCTGACATAGTGAGACATAACTATTAAATAGACGAATATATCTATGGTCCAAGTAATCTCAAAGTAATCTCACAAAATCATGTCTTATCTGAAAAAATCCTGGGGAACAATGGATTCATTTCTTCTCAGAATATTTTTAATAATAAGTACAATGTTTTATTATTATTTATTTAATATATACAAATTATTTTCTCTATAATGTATACTGCAATTGTTGTCAAAAAATCTACCTGGAAACACATCCATTTCCCCTTTAACTATCCAAATGAGACAGGACTTTGGAAGACAGGACATACTACTGTAATCTCCAACCACATCTGAATGTGTAACACTTCCCAAATACATATGAATACTGAGCTGGGGATGAAAGATATGAGTTCTTAAATTGTCCATAATGTAGGTATAAAGATAACATCGTGGAATGCTTACCTCATTGACATAGCTGTCTATGATGCCTGCCCTGGGGATGAACCAATGTTTGAACTCTTCTTCAGAGAAGATTGGGGTCAGGTCAAACTTTTCTAGGTACTGAAAATGATCAGGAATCATTGTTTTGACCGCGATAATGAATGTGGTTACCCACAATAAAAGAATAAGGCGTGAACTTCAATATTTAGTAAATAAATATGACATTAACCAAAAAACTTTTGATTTTTCGAAAAGCTTGCTCCTATCTCTATCATTCTAACTTTACTCACATTATTTAACAGCTGGTATGTCTCATGCACATCTGCCAATGCAAGAGGCCTAAACCCAGATGATTTAGTAGACTGGAATAAAGGACAGTTAAGATAATATAAGTTATTGAATGATTTGAAGTGCAATACAGGATATATTCTACTCGAGAAATTCTGTATTGGAATGAGACGAAATCGAGTGCCAATACAGAATATCGAGAACATTTTTATCATGTGATCTTAGGCCAACACATTTAACATTGGAGATAACCCCTAGAAAATATTCTGTATTCTCTGTATTGCTACTGAGAATGTCCCCTCCGTACCAATATTTTCTGAATTGCTCCAGAGATGATCAATGGGGACAATCTCAGTAGCAATACAGATTGGTACAGGAAAAGAACTGACCAATCAGAGGGCTTCATTTTACAGATCATACGATAATTTAAGATATCTTACAAGGAGACAGTCAGTGTTTATTTTCAGGTCAGCAAGAGTGATGAAACTATGTTTCAGTAATCTACTACTATATATGTATATATGTCTTTACTAGGGACCTGGGCGGACTTGTTTCTCAAACCTGATGCAAGATTTCAAGAGATTACTTATTAATTGCCAATATGTACTGAACATACAAAAACAGTTTTCTTCAATTGTATTGTACATTTTGTATTGAATTGTACATTTAATATTGTATTGAACATTCCAAAGAATGCAGTTTTTGAATTTCAGATTTTGTGATTGAAGACTTTAACTTTCAACTTAGCCTACATTTTAATCAATTCGTAAAATCAAATTCTGTATATTTAAGATTAAGATTAATTCATTTTAAGTACAGTAGACATGTTGCCTCTTGTGATTTAGTTTTTTTGAAAATAACATGTCAGAGAAACATCATGTTTAGGATGTGGGGCACTGCCTCAGACTGTAGACCTACTTACTTCTGGCAGCTTGTAAAGCTTGAGTGTTCGTTGCATGGTCATGTTGCGACTCAGATGAGAGAATTTCACCTCTATTAATTTCCTAGGATTCAGTGAGCGATGCCAATACCTGCCAAAACAATTTAATATAATATGATACAAAACAACATTTAGATTGTCCTCTCAACAACTACACTGTCAAACTTCATTACATAGAACACTGCCAGTGAAATAAGGGCGTTTCATCAGATACATTTACTTACCTACATGATCCAACTGGTTTTGGTAGGACTACACCGGCTGTGTAGACAGCTTGAAATATGCCTTCTAAATGAACCCTTCGAGTGATCTCACGAATTAGCACTGGAGCAACCCGTTTAGCACGTAACTTTTTGTGGACACATAGGAAATTGATCTCTACCATTGTTTGTTTACTGTAAGATAAAATAATATCATGTTATGTGTGCAAATATTGCAATGATAAAGCTTTTTTCCTTACTGAGCATAACATCTATTTGCGCTGGTATTGCACTTATAAACATTGTACTTACTGAGCATAGACTTTTATGCAGGTATTGCACTGATAAAGCATTGTTACTTACTGAGAATAGACTTTTATGTGTGCAGGTATTGCACTTATAAAGCATTGTTACTTACTGAGCATAGACTTTTATGTGCGCAGGTATTGCACTAATAAAGCATTGTTACTTACTGAGCATAGACTTTTATGTGCGCAGGTATTGCACTGATAAAGCACACTAGTTTGCCACTTTTCTCCACTCTGACTCCACAGTGCCAGTTTTGTAGCCAACCTGGTGGTTGTAATGCCCTGTAGAATAGTGAAATATACAATTTGTTTATTTAGAATAGAGTATATCTTTCTTGAACATATCATATCATATTCAAGGTTTACCAAAACATACAACAGATTGTGCATCCTTGTCACAGATAGGCTGGTGTGACATCAGTGAAGTTATTGCAATGAAGAAACTCATGTACTTTTGGCATATATTTAACACTTGTGCTGGACAATGTAAAGCTGTGAGTATTGCTAGATGGTACATCCTACTTTTTAAAATATTTATCGTAGGGATGTCAGTGTCTTCGCCTATAGCTGAAATAATCAAACTAGGTACAAGGTTTAATCTCTTAGATAGAATGAAGAGCTATATTGACCAAGGTATATTCCCCAAAAAACATCATTGGAAGAAAATTTCTAAAAATGCTGTATCCAATTACTACATAAATAGATGGCATCTAAAATGTATGATGTATACTAAGATTAAGACGTACAGAGATGTCGTCAATAATCGAGTTCCAATAATATGGTACCAATTATGTAAATTTAGGCCTGATCTCATTTTCAAATGTAAGTTTATGGTACGGCTGCTGGTGGGGGAAGCCATTGGGAGGTATGCAGAAGCTAAAGAAAATAGATTGTGTCCTTTATGTGGAGAGTGTGAAACATTAATTCATTTTATAAAGGATTGTACTGAACTTAAGAGTCGTCGATTATTATTAAAACCCCTTATTGACAAATATGGGGATGGCGTATTGCCCTTTATCTTCGCTCCAGATGAGCAGGATGACTGTATATTTATTGTTAACACTTTGTATGCGATGTATCAACATCGAACAAACGCCATTTTGTAAATATCATCCCGACCTTGTATTGTTCACCTAAATGTTTGTATATATGTTAACATAAATTAATGTATATTATGATGATCAATTATGGTCGCAATAAAGAAATATATATATCATACATTCCCTAGGCTTTCTAATCAACTGGTCCCGAATACAATTCGTCCCTGAGACAACTTGTCCCCAACTTGTATTTAGTCAGCTAGTATTAATGTCTAGGAATGAAGTTGAATGGCTATGCAGTACTTGATTTAGTGACTCTGAAATATTGTAAAGAACATCTGGTTTGTTATGTTACTAGGTAATATAGCTACTCACCACTGTAAGAATTCTGGTGAATAATCAAATCTAAACATGTTATCATCATCTTCTACATAGTTCTCATTTAGTAATGTGTACAACTCTTTCAGCTGAAATGTAAAACATATGCTGTTTGTTACTCTAATTCAATAAAGTGTATAACTCTTAACTGAACAATGTATTTTACAAGTAAATAAAGCAAATATTAAATAATTAATTTAAATATGAATAAATACATGCACAGTGTGTCCCATTGAAGAGGCTGAGATTAGAACAATTTAGAAATTGCAAGAAATGATTTTTCCTTGGTTTACATTAAAATTAAAAGAAGGTCACAGTGACCTTGTTGTGATGCCTTTTAACAGTTTTTCATTAAAAACAACTATGCACCCTAATAGACTTGTTGTCCATTTTTGAATGAAATCTTTTTGATATAAACTTGTATGAGCATTGAATCTGAAAATCAAGCTATTTATGAACTTCTAAACTGAACTTCCCACTCAAATGATGCGCCATTTCCTAGAAAAGGACCCACTGGGACAAAACTGCATGTCATATTCCACACCGCCCTTCCATCCTCCCCCTCAAGAAAACGCAGACCTTTAAATTGTGCATAACTCTCTTGTTAAGTTTTTCCACAGTGAAAGAGAAATAACAGAATTCTAAAAATCGTTACTTACCACTAAAGGGTCATTAATATTCAAGGTATCCCATTTGAAGCCTGGGGGTAGAGAGTATGATTCCTGGCGGACCTCAGCTTTGCTTTTCGATGGCTCTATTGCAGTGTGCTCTGTTACTTTGTCAGCTATAATAGAGATGTACAGTATATACATCATGTTATTTTATAAAAAAAACTTTAAAAACCAGACCTTTATTTTGAGCTAAATAATAATAATTGACAACTGGTTCGTAATTCAGTTTTGACCAACTGTCTGAAATTCCTATGATGGACCCTGGCACCAATTAATATCTTTTCATCATTTCCTGGATTCACTACATACATAATTAAATTTACTGAGTTACAGATATATCTTTTTTAAATATGGCATGGCATTTATTTCAGTGAGGACTGGACTTACATAATTTAGGGACTGGTTGTGTGTCCCAGAACTGGTATTGTTTCCTCTGTGCCTCCTCCATAGATTTTGGAGCACCCTGTTGCAGCTGCATCAACTCCATAGCTTTTTGCAGGTCTTGCAGCTTTGATATAGGCAACTGAAACGTAAAGTAGAATGAAAAAACAATGCTGTGATTTTGGAGCACCCTGTTGCAGCTGCATCAACTCCATAGCTTTTTGCAGGTCTTGGAGCTTTGATATAGGCAACTGAAATGTAAAGTAGAATGAAAAAACAATGCTGTGATTTTGGAGCACCCTGTTGCAGCTGCATCAACTCCATAGCTTTTTGCAGGTCTTGGAGCTTTGATATAGGCAACTGAAATGTAAAGTAGAATGAAAAAACAATGCTGTGATTTTGGAGCACCCTGTTGCAGCTGCATCAACTCCATAGCTTTTTGCAGGTCTTGGAGCTTTGATATAGGCAACTGAAATGTAAAGAAGAATGAAAAAACAATGCTGTGATTTTGGAGCACCCTGTTGCAGCTGCATCAACTCCATAGCTTTTTGCAGGTCTTGCAGCTTTGATATAGGCAACTGAAACGTAAAGTAGAATGAAAAAACAATGCTGTGATTTTGGAGCACCCTGTTGCAGCTGCATCAACTCCATAGCTTTTTGCAGGTCTTGCAGCTTTGATACAGGCAACTGAAAGGTAAAGTAGAATGAAAAAACAATGCTGTGATTTTGGAGCACCCTGTTGCAGCTGCATCAACTCCATAGCTTTTTGCAGGTCTTGCAGCTTTGATATAGGCAACTGAAATGTAAAGTAGGATGAAAAAACAATGCTGTGATTTGGGAGTATGGTGTCAAACAGGATTCTCCAAGTCTTGGAAAAAACACTTTAAAGTATGGTGTTTACTTTGGAGCCAAAAAGTGACAACTTAGCCAAATAACAATGCTGGGGAAGTAGTCAAGTGATAGAACTGTGACAGTTAATACGTACCATCCAAAAGTTCTGAACAGTAATGATGTGTTATGGAAATATATATACATGTATCTTAAAATCACAGCTAGCTGCAGTATTGGCTTTACTCTCAATTTAACAAATTATAACTCACTTCTGCAACATCTTTGACACCATCCTTAGCAGCGACGTTATTCTGCAATGACTCTAGATCCTTGCTGTCTGAATCACTAGTCTGTGGGTCCTTACTTCGCTTCTTCTTCTTTTTGTTCTTTTTCTTGGTACTGGTCAGCTCCCCATCACTAAATAAGTATTAAATCACATAAAGAGTGGATTTTATATTCTGGATACAGAATGTCTCTTTGAGTTAACTATCCAAGAATATTGAAAGGCAGAACTAAGAAATTTTCGTTTTTAATCGTAGTATAAAAAATCCAAACCACCATCTTGAAAAGTGATGGAATCTCTCTCGATGAAAAGAAAAAAAAAAGTTCGCGTTCTGCCGGTGTAAACCCAGATAATTGAGGATTCAACTACACGAAAAGAATGCTAAAATACCCAGGAATTTATTGAAGTATGTATCTTAAGTGTAAGAGGTGTAGAAAATTCTCCCATAATTTAATCGTACAGGCAAAAGATTGAGACATGCTCAGGACTATAGTCCTGGCATGGGCTAAGTACCAATATTTTGAAAGGTGGTCACTTTTTTTGAAATTTTCCAATTTAGTGACGCATCTTCTGAATTATTCTTCTACTACAAAACGATCTTGATCGGTTATATAAGTGGCATCACTCAGATTTGTGAAATCTATGCACTTCCATGTTTTAAAAAAAAATGGAAAAATCATGACAACTGGATTCTAGTCTTTTTGATTTTCTCGTCTAAATACGTCACCGATGTTCCTGAATCTCAGGTAACATATAAAATATGTACTTACGTTACTTTTTCTACATCGTCATCTTCACAATCAGCATCACCGGATAGGTGATCATCGTCTAAACCTTCGTGCTCCTGATTTTTTTTCGCATCTGCCATGACGGTTCGGACTGAATAAATAATGACGCGCCCAAAATAAATTCAGCCTACACTAACTCTTCACTAACCCTTAAAGACCCTATGTAAAGTTTGAAAATATAATTTAATCTTTCAAATATTACTTTTCATAACGCGAGGACCTACTTTAGACACTCTTTGTAAACGTGACTGAAGACCTAATATAATATTTTCAAACATCGATACTTCCCGCCATTTTTAAGTTAGAAGTAGATTTCAAGACGACTAGCCTATGCGTATTTTCAACCTTTGGCAAAATAAAGATTTAATTTTTGACTTCTTAGTATTTCCAACGGATTGATAGGTACTTTATTTTTATTCGACACCAAAAACAGCTCAAACAGGCCACAACAAGGCTTACAATAAATTATCAAAAATTATATATTCGATCTGTCAAGTTTTATATCAAGTTTTTGTCAATGTCAGAAAGATGGCGAAGTTGTTTGTATCACATAATCCATTCATTCATTTCTATAGAAGTGTCGCCATCTTTTGAGTCAAGAGTTATTTGCACTGTGTCAAGCATGAGTGTGCACTACTTAATAGGCCTATGATATCTGAACTTCAAATGCTTTTTTCTAAGAGCGTTATTTTTTCTAGATTCAATATTAATGCAGATCAATCTTTGTATCATATTTGATTGAGTGCGAGTAACATGTTTCAATGATTATTTTATCCTTTTTTCTTCTGAACTTTTTTTTTTTTTTTTTTTTGATAAAATTTATTTCAGTTTCACATAATTATTTACAGGTATGGTACAAAGATGAGGTTTCAAATTCATAAAGAGTATTTAAGTTACTCACACATTTTTCAATATACCATTTGTGAATAGATAACTTTGCTATCAGTATATTTTTGTAATTCTTTACTTTACCTATTCCATATATTTGATTGGCAGTTATATTTGGGAAATGTTTAGTCCAAAATTCAGCAACTGCTTTGCATTTAACAAAATGATGCTCTAAATTATCTATTTCATCACAGCTTGTACATTTGCTTGAATTTAAAATACCATATCTATGCAGTAAAAGACAAGGCATTAACATGACAAAATGTCACCACCTAAAACAATTTGGTCAATTTAAAGCAAGTTGGAAAATACCTTTTGACCTTACGAAGGTTTTTGAAGATTTGAGCTTCTGGGATCTTGTAGATGATTTTGAAAAAAGAAATTGTTCAATCTGAAGCAAGTTAAAACTAGTTGCACACAAATCTTAAGTCAGATTTGAACTTCTTAGAACATGTAGATGATTTTGAAAAAAAAATTCGTCAATTTGAACAAGTTGAAAAAATACCTCTTTGACTTTTTTGACATTGAGAAGGTCATTGAAGGTCAAATGTCAAATGTAAAGTCAGATTTGAACTTCTGAGAACATGTAGATGATTTTGAAAAAAAAATTAAGTAAATTTGAAGCAAGTTGAAAAAAGACCTTTTTGACCTTGAAAAGGTCATTGAAGGTCAAATGTCAAATCTAAAGTCAGATTTGAACTTCTGAGAACATGTAGATGATTTTGAAAAAATTAGTCAATTTGAAGCAAGTTGAAAAAATACCTTTTTGACCTTGAGAAGGTCATTGAAGGTCAAAGGTCAAATCTAAAGTCAGATTTGAACTTCCGAAAAGATGTAGATGATTTTGAACAAAAAAATTGGTCAATTTGAAGCAAGTTGAAAACAGACCTTTTGACCTTTTTTGACTTTGAGAAGGTCATTGAAGGTCAAATGTCAAATCTTAAGTCAAATCTAAAGTCAGATTTGAATTTCTGAGAACATGTAGATGATTTTGAAAAAAAGTTAGTCAATTTGAAGCAAGTTGAAAAAAGACCTTTTTGACCTTGAGAAGGTCATTGAAGGTCAAATGTCAAATCAAAAGTCAAATCTAAAGTCATATTTGAATTTCTGAGAACATGTAGATGATTTTGAAAAAAAAATTTAGTCAATTTGAAGCAAGTTGAAAAAAGACCTTTTTGACCTTTTTTGACTTTGAGAAGGTAATTGAAGGTCAAATGTCAAATCTTAAGTCAAATCTAAAGTCAGATTTGAATTTCTGAGAACACGTAGATGATTTTGAAAAAAAATTTTCGTCAATTTGAAGCAAGTTGAAAACAGACCTTTTGACCTTTTTTTACCTTGAGAAGGTCATTGAAGGTCAAATGTCAAATCTAAAGTCAAATCTAAAGTCATATTTGAATTTCTGAGAACATGTAGATGATTATGAAAAAAAAATTTAGTCAATTTGAAGCAAGATGAAAAAATACCTTTTTGACCTTTTTTGACATTGAGAAGGTCATTGAAGGTCAAACGTCAAATCTAAAGTCAGATTTGAATTTCTGAGAACATGTAGATGATTTTGAAAAAAAAATTTAGTCAATTTGAAGCAAGTTGAAAAAAGACCTTTTTGACCTTTTTTGACTTTGAGAAGGTCATTGAAGGTCAAATGTCAAATCTTAAGTCAAATCTAAAGTCAGATTTGAATTTCTGAGAACACGTAGATGATTTTGAAAAAAAAATTTCGTCAATTTGAAGCAAGTTGAAAACAGACCTTTTTGACCTTTTTTGACCTTGAGAAGGTCATTGAAGGTCAAATGTCAAATCTAAAGTCAGATTTGAATTTCTGAGAACATGTAGATGATTTTGAAAAAAAAATTTAGTCAATTTGAAGCAAGTTGAAAACAGACCTTTTTGACCTTTTTTGACCTTGAGAAGGTCATTGAAGGTCAAATGTCAAATTTAAAGTCAGATTTAAAGGTCAAATGTCAAATCTAAAGTCTGATTTGAATTTCTGAGAACATGTAGATGATTTTGAAAAAAAATTTAGTCAATGTGAAGCAAGTTGAAAAAAGACCTTTTTGACCTTGAGAAGGTCATTAAAGGTCAAATGTCAAATCTTAAGTCAGATTTGAACTTCTGAGAACATGTAGATGATTTAGAAAAAAATTGAAGTCAGTCTAAACAGTATTTGTTAAGTTATAGGAAGTTGTAAGAAATTGTTACAGACGCCGGACGCCAACCGCCGGACGCCAACCACCAACCGCCGTCGCAAAAAAACGGAGACCATAACAATATGTCACCACTTTTGGTGGTGACATAATTACATGGATATATTGAATGTAAAATCTTCCAGTGTAGTATAATTAGGTCTGTTGCTGTTGTACAATTTTTTGCATTAAGCCAGGTTTTTCTTGTTAAAACCTCATTTTTGAATACAATTTCACAAACCCGGTTTTCTATTAAAATTTTCCTAAAATCTTGAACATTTAAGAACTGCACATCTGTATCATTGAAGTATAAAGTATCTCCTGGAGCTACAATTTGATATTCTAATATCATCTCCCTTTTGAGTGCTTGTTTCAAAGTTTGATATTGCATCCATGTTTCAGCATTTCTGCCTACTGAGGAAACAATTTCATCATAAGAAATGATCTGGCCATTTTTGCAAACATCACATATAAAATTTATTCCACACTTAATCCAGCTTTGAAAATACAATTCTTTACCTGTAGCTTTGATATTTTCATTATGCCATAAAATAGAGCTGTCTTTGAACTTATTGTTTGATTTCCATAGATATAATAGTTCGCTATAAAATCCTAACAATTTATCAGTATTCACAATATTTTTAAAATCATTATTACATTGAAATATGGTTAAATCTTTACATAGGGTACCATACAAATACAGAGGTATTTTCCTCCAGCTGCCATTTCCATTTTCTTGTAGCTGTTTGACCCATTTAAATGCTAGAGCATTTTGCATATCAAATATATCAATCATTTTTTATCCTCCATTAGTGGACTAGTGGGGCTGATCATGGTCCCATGGGCTGATCTACATGAGCTAAGATGACGTCGGGAAGTTTTCGAAGACTGGAAAAATTATATACAATTTTTATTATGATTTGACTGAATAGTTAGCTATACATCAATCACACCATTGGAAAGCTTATTTTGTCTCCTTTAAAACCTCTTTGTACTCGGAATTGAATCCAACTTTCAAGAATCGAGAAAAAGTGCAACGCATAAACCTTTAATAGGCGAGTAACTGTAGAAATATTTTTTGCAAATTCACAATATACGTATTTTGTTATGAATTCTGTAGCTCTTTGCAAGTTAAAATTTCGCCCCTAGTCAATGATAATCACAATAAATAATACTTTATTATATTGCAGGAATTTTAGGGTATGCTCCCCCGGTATTTTTTCCGAAGACATTATTTGATGCAATCTGAGCGTTTTTATCAACTTTGAATAGTTCTAATCTGATAAAACTTAATGGTGGTTAGATATAAGCTTATACAAAGACAGAGTCATCAATAAATGAACAAATAAATAAATGCATTTTAACACATTTTTATTTTTTCAAATTCATTTGGTACGCACGGGCGTACTCGGTACACTCATCCTCCGAACACAGGCCTCCAGAACTCGTACCTCCTTCTTCCAAGAAGGAAGGAACTTAGTGGATGATGTCTGGAACCCTGCGTTCGGAGGATGTGTGCACTTTGTGTAGTGTGAGTGGGGTAGCCACAACGAGGGTTTTCAGTACACTACGTACTTTAAAAATAAATTGTGTGAAAATCTTGATTTCAAAATGACATCCTCCTAAGGCAAGGGTTGGTGAGAAAATATAGTGAGACTAAATATAAATATAGATACATTTGAGACAAATAGATGGCAGGTAAGCAAACTGGCAATGTTTTGCGCGTGTCAGAAGTATCTTACCTTACCTTACGTTAACTTTTATACACTGATTGTTCTAAATCCAGTAATAAAGTAAAAATTCTAAGTATACTGGATACCAATGTTGTAATGTGAAACAATCTCCATTTCCGTACGATGATTATTTTTACTGAATGTGAAATGAAATGTTGAAACGTTTTTACTAAAATAATAAAGCTTATTACGAATTCTTGTAAATAACGTTCGCTAAAACATGTAGTTTTCTTACTAAATATGTCTTTCTTTAAAACTAACCTAATAATCATCGTATCGTATTGTTTAATTTGTATTGCACTAACTTGTAATTGTATTGTAAGTATATTGTATCGTATTGAATCCGATTGTATCATATTGCATCGTATCGTATCGTATCGTATCGTATCGTATCGTATCGTATTGTATTGAAGTGTTACAGGTATTATATGTTTTGTTACAATCAAACCGTTTGGGACTGGATTCTGTCCGAGACTAACATTCAACATGGATCGATCTTGGTATCCTAGTACCTTGGAAAGCGTTTCGGAATCGGAATGGTACCTGTATCAGGCACTAAGACAGGGACTTCATTTTCGACAATGTTTGTCCTCTGATTGAGCTTCAAATAAAAAGCATTTTAAAGCTCTTTTCTTCTTTCTATCTCATGGTTATATTTTATATTGGTTATGGGGGGGTCATCCATCGCCCCCTGGCAGTACTATGATGTCTATTATCTTCATATTCAAAGCCTGTTTTGACATAATATTTCTCTTCAGAAAATTGGCCTGACTGTTAATATAGAAGCAACTAAGCTACTTCAGTCTTAGATGTAGTCTACATTCTCATCATATAAACTTCTCCAAAAGCTTCACCATTTGATAAGATAGCACGGACCTTTTGAATAATATATTTGGAATAGCAAAGGACACATTGCTTGCACTCGCCAATGGGCTTGCCAATCAGATCCCGGAAATAAATGTATTAGCGGCCTCACTAAAAAGTAAAAACGTCCGCAATACGGTTTAAATTATTTTTTGTCGAAAAAGGTACATTTACTTGTTTATTTGATATCGTATGTAGATTTTAAACCCCATTTAAACACATTTGTAGAGTGAAAACTCCGCAATTTGATATGTTATTTGTGGTACAATCACTTTAGACAGTAACCGCGCCAAAAAGTCTAGACCCTGCACGTGACCACTGCAACCAATAAAAATCAATTATCAATTTGGAGGCAGGGCTTCTGATGTGAACGAGTCCATTTTGCCGTGTGCAATTTCTGGAGAAAATGAGAAAAGTATATACAAATTGGCAAAGCAAACATTATTGATTTGATTGTAAACGTTCAAATCGTATATGTGGATCCATTTTGCCATAATTCTTTTGATTTTTTTGAAAGACAATAACCGATTTTGAGTGATATGTAGTAACCTACCACCCCTTGTAATTGTGAATCGAGCCTGGCTTTACTAAAGATCACCAGTGTTTTGAAACCTGAATGTGAATGGAGAACTTTGTAAACACCGATCGACGTTCTGGGTTAATTGCACAGGATTATATTGTATAAGGACTTTGACATAAGAATAAGAAGTTATAGGAATACCATCTCTTAGGTTCTGTGGAATTTATAGTGGATATACAGCCGGAAAAAGCTAAGTGTAACAAAGTTGTGTTTACAAATCTTACTCAAGAGATCATTTGGCCACTTTGCAAGTGCTCTATGTTTTGGATTATGGTATTTTCATATGTTATGTGATCTATACAGCCACCAAGGTGATTTCTGATGATAGTGAGGATTCAGGGTGCAGTCAATGTTTTATGTTCAGGGGCACACGATCTAGACTCGTGAAGCGCCTGTGGAAACACCGGATTTATAAAAATGAAGCCGAGAGTACGATTGAAAAGCAGGAGGACATGGAGCTACGCTCTGTAGCCCATTCCTTGTTGAAGAGGTTGAAAGAGAAGAATTTAGATACTCTTATAGAGGCAGTTGAAAGTCAGGGTGGTGTTAAAACAGAATGTGTTCATATACCTAAAGGGGATGTTCGATTTGGTCGAAAAACTGTTACCCCTCAACTTTTATGTTGTCAAATCTGGAGATGGCCCGATGTATCAAATCCAGATGAACTGAAGAAAATGCCAGAATGTGTTTCACAAGAAGACGCAACAACTATTTGCTGCAATCCTTTCCATTGGAGTCGAATTATAGTGCCAGGTACTGCCTTTTTATACATATACACATGTGCAGTTTCAGATTCATCGGTGTGGCAGCCATGTTTGTTATCATGAAATCTGATTGGTTTTCATTCACATTCATGAACATAGCCATTCATTGTAATTATGTGTAAATGTTTAAAATGACATTGTAGCAAAATGGAATACAATGTTGAGATTATTGAAATCTCATAAATTGTATCAACTCTGAAGTATAATATAGTAGCAATACTGAGGCTAACTAAGTATTTCACACTGGGTTTGAACTTTTACCATGCAGACAACTTTAGATCTTATCTACCCTAAATTCCTGACATTTCAATCTAAATAAACCAGCATTTTGCAAACATTGGTAAATTTTACAGTCAAATACAACTTGAAACTTCAAAAATATTTATGCCTTGTAGAAATATAGATGTAAAAAGGTGCATTTGAAGTGAAATGAGTCTATTTCTATTCAAAAGTGGGGAATAATTTAGTGGCGCCACACTACAAGGATATGGCCCTTATCAAACTATGTGAACACTGGTAATTATCTACACTGGCTATATGCCCTCCATGTAGGGTTTGATTTATTACTTTAAGATACCCATATACTTACCTTTGAAAACCTTATTTATCAAGCAGAAAAGGTGATATATGTATAAACTGAACTTTTGCTTGAAGTGTGTATTTTTGCCTGAAATAACTGATTTGTTAAAAAGTTCTAAATCTATAATATACTGAAACACAATTATATTTCTGCATATTACAAGTTGTAAAAACAGAGTTGAGCTGTGTTGATGGACTGCATGAACTACATGTTAGTGTCATCAGGTCATATAGCCTCTACATTGACCATATTCATCATGTGAAAATCAGAGTCAGAACTTCAAATAGATTTTCTGAATATGTTTTACAGGAGAAGCAGTTTTCTCATTAGGGGTTTCATTAGCAGCAGGCAACAGGCAATTTTCACCAGTTTTCACAAAACCGCCTGTTGTTTTTAGAGACTTCAACTTTTCCATGTTAAGTTTATGATTTCCATTAATTTTGCCCGTTGTTTTCATTTATTTAGCCTTTTGTGAAAAATTAAGTGAAACCCCTGCATTATTATTCTCTTGAGGGCTGTGATTGTAGAGGAATCTGTTGTTATGTTGACATAAGGCCCAAGGTCAATATCAGCATCTTCTGTTGGAATCTGTCACATTTTTCAAAATCAACAAATAAATATCTGGAAAATAATCAGTTTTTGAAAACTCTAATTTTCAGTAGAAAATGAACATAAACTATTTCTAATGATCCCTCATCAATATTGATGTCAGCTTTTGAATATTCAATGTTAACACAGGTTATTAGTATGAAAAAAGAACCATAAGTTTGTAGATTTTGTAGCTGATGTAGATGTCATGATGACTGAACTTTTGCCAATGGATGGTCCTAACAAATGATCAGACCTCTGATCGTTTTAATCATTGATCGTATTTGAAATATGCATGTAGGATTAAAACATTTGGCAATACTTGAAAAAACAAGAAGTCAAATTTTATTGAAACTTTAAATGCTCAAATTAATTTTTATTTCAAAACGGAGTTTATATAGCAATAGTCCCATCATAGTAACTAAGATGAGTAAGCTTTAACTTAATGTTCTACATTTCAGACATGCCACCACCTCCATACTGCCAAGCAGTTGAAGACACAGAGAAAGACCCAGGTAAAAAAACATTCTGTTTCTATGCCAAGCCCCAACCTGTCATTTGATCTGGTTCCTGCATCAAGTCCCTATATTCTACTCTATATATAGTCTTGCTCAAAGACTGTATCCACCCCCCCCCCTGTCACCTTCACTCTCTTTACCTGGCAATATACAGAGAGAAGGATAAAGGGGGGGGGAGAACAGGGTCTTTTAAGCAAGACTACTCTATATACCAATACTTCATTTCCTTGAAGCATTAGAGAATAAAGGATGGGTCAGAGATGTAAGAATAAGCTACATATTTTGGACATTAAATATCCAAAGATATAACATTAACATTGATATCTTGCAATGATCCTGTAGATAGAGACAGAATTGGGGGAGGGGGTACAGAGAGAGCAGGGTTGTAAACTTCCTACAAGTACATATACTTCAGCATTATGATTTTATTTATTTTAGTTAATATGTTATTCAACATTAGATGACTGGTGACTTAACTTTTATAGATTTTTCTATAGTTCAGTTACAGTTAACCCAATTCAGTTAAAAAGACACAGATGTGTACAATAAAGGTTAATGTATGCTGTATTTTCTAATGGCAGTATATACAAATATTATTGTACCTTTTGAAAAGAATGGAATGTGTCAATATTGTAAAATAAGCAACTATTATATTTTGATTGTGAACTAACTGAGGGGTCCTAGCCTTAAAGTATCTCAGCATACGCTTTTTCCATACCAATATCGCTTTTATTTGCATGAAGATCCATGTTATGTTCTTTAATCTGTAAATCTGCAGTGTGTACAGCATGAATTTCTATTTCATTCCTTGTCTGTTCCTCTCTTTCTACTCTAGTTTTCATTAAGATGTGTATTCTGTCATTTTGTGTACTTAAAGCAATCTGAAAGAATCGATCAAAGTTGCATGTTAGGGATTTGGAATATTGAATGATTCTTTTGTTTTTAAGGGTTCACTCAGTTCTTTCCAATACATAACAAAGATCTTTACAAAACATGGGCTTCTAGCTAAGTGCACATCTATTACTGTAAATACTTTGTGTACCTCTGATTTGTTAGTCGTGCTTGAAGACCCTGGACTTTCTACTCTAACGTTAGACTCTGGACTTTCTACTCTAATGTTAGACCCTGGACTATCTAGTCTAACGTTAGAGAAGATAGTCAAGGGTCTTGAAGCAAGGCTACTGATTTGTGTGCAATTCCCAGTATCTTTACACAGCACAGTGCACGTGATTTTAAATTCTTGATTTAAATAAACATCTAAGCTGTCAAAACTTGAGAGATATCGGGGGGGGGGGGGGGTTATGCAGATTTTCAAATTTAATGAGTGGTGTAAACCTGCTCTACAATATTTAGTTACTGTTGTTATTTCAGAACCGCCCGATAGGCTTCAAGAAGAACCCTGCTCTACAGAAACAGGGAACACGCCTCTAACACGGCAACGCTATTACTCAGGTATGTTACATTCGTTACATAGAAATAAATGACCAACCAGGCATTTCTCAGCTGGTGTTCATGGTTTTACTTTCAAATATCCCAAATATATTTAGATTAGTTTTGATTTAGGGTATTGGTTCAAAATCATGCCAGACTATAGAATAGACTTTTCAATGTCCAAACACTTATGGAATGTGTTCTTTGGTTCAGAATTCATAATTATTTCTAGGTTTGGAATGAATTTACTGAATGTCAGTTGTCAAGTAAAAGTACTGTTACATAACAGTTGTCAAAGGTCACCTTCCGTTGCAATCACATCTAAATAGATGTGAAACGGGCTGGAAATCTTTGCATGTTCAGTTCATATTGAAATTATGACCCACGTAAGCAATGATGCTAGTTTTGAGCCAAGATTTGAAATTTTGATTTTATTATTGATTTTGAGTGAAAGTAATTTTGTTCTTGATAACCTTAACAGAGTAATTTACGGCTATCCATTACTTATACTATGAATGGGCACCACTCTAATAGTAGATGCCCCAAGAGCTTGCTGCCATGGGTAAAATATTATGATTGGTATATGTAAACTCTGTGACAAAGAGAGGAATAGAGGAGACTTAACAAGAAATTGTGTATTTATGTACTGTATTATGTAATCAGTTGTCGAAATTGGTGAGAAAAGCTAGAGAATCTTATGAAAAACAAGGAATAGAAAGCGTGGAATGGGCATGGTCGATTTAAGCATGGGTTGTTTTGGCAGCCATTGTAACATACATGCAGTACCTGAGCTTGAAAAGAATTGTTATTTTTGCAGTTTAGTTCCTTGCCCTGAAGGGGTTTACATTTAAATGAGATTAACCTTCAGAAGAATTATTTAACCATTGACCTAGTTGTATGAGCATTCATTGGGTTAACTGAAGTTTCAAGTTAACATGCTTTCAATGTTTTTGACAGTAAATTCCTCTACACATCTCTTTCTGCTACATTCCTGTGCTAAAAGGTCATTCCGGTTATAACCATTTCTTGCTGTTCCAATCTAAAATTTCAATGACATATCAGCTTTTCTTTACAATTAAGAGTGATTGCTGCATACCTACCTGTTTTCAATTCCTTACAAATGTCACCCTTTTCAACTATATGATTCACATTTCAAAACTTGACCAGCATTATTTTATGTAGGGTTACTTTACCATCATGGTCGCCTGGCTGGTGACATGATCCAAGCCTACATAGCTTAGTTAGTCAATATTTTAGCCAAACATTCCCCAAATCGTGCAAACAATTTTATTAGTGTAAGGCCATGGCATCTCCTTTCAATTCATATTTATTTTTCAAGAATGGAGCCTTTGTGAACCTCTATAAGGATTTTGTAAGCATCATATCTTTGGTTAAGCATTTAGCTATTCGCATATTGTTGTAAAAAACTGAATGAGTTTTTGAGCTATCAAATTCTAATTTAAGATTTTAGATAGGTTCTCCTTAAGCAAGGTCAGGATGATAATTCTGAACAAGTTATCATGCATTTAATTCTCAAATATGTAAACTCTTAATTTTTCATGTAGTTTGGCTTTTTTTATTCAGAGTTTTAGTAGATATACACTATGCTTGTACAGTACAATCCTAGCATGAAATAAGAAAGTGAGGCTGTTCTCTGAAGTGTTATAGATTGCTTCTTGGTCATATTACACCTTTATTTAAACACTTAATCTCTATTTACTATGTCCATGCGTCTACATTTGAACTTATGCTAATATAATTAGGATTAGCTTTGTTTCCACAGGGTTCCATTAGGCCTATATACTCTCCAGGATTTCAGAATGGAAGGAATATATTTAGCTAATTTTTCTTAGCAAAGAACCAGGGCATGTTTGGGGGAAGTTGTCTGTGGAGCTCTCCGGTTCTAGACTGTACTGACCAAAAAATCATTTAACTAAATAATTGGATAGAGTTTCAACTGCTAATACACAATTCTATGACATTCAGTGATATCTGTAATATTAGGATTATGAGCCACCTTTTGCACTTTAAAACACCTGTGAAAAATGTCAATTTTAAGAAATCTCAAAATATTTTTTTCGTTTTTTGCTTAAGAGTTTAGAAAGGATAGAGAAAAGTTGAGAGATATATAGCATTTGTGAATTCAACTGACAGCTGCCGGTTTAACCTACTATTTTATTACCAACTCATTTAAATATGAATAGTACATGTCACTATTCCATTCATATTTAAATGGGTTGGCCATAAAATAGTAGGGGTACCTGCCACTATTCCATTCATATTTAAATGAGTTGGCCATAAAATAGTAGGTTAAACCGTCAGCTAGCAGCCAGCACACTATTGTACTCTATTAGGAGATTTTCAAACATTTTGCCATGTCAAAGTGTAATATGATAACATGGTGATTATATATGCAGTGACATGAATAGCATCATCCAGTTGTCTTGTTCAGAAAAGCTTTTACAATTAATATTGATCATTCATTAATATTATGCTTAGATTGATGAAGTGATCTTGCACCTACTTTACTAGCAATTGTCATCTATTTAGAGATGATGTATTAAACCACATTCAATAAAACCTGTGCATATATATAACGTGATCATTTATGAGTGGGACAAACTTTCATTTCCTTCCAGTTGTCTGCACATAAAATAATATACAAACAATAATGGGAAAGAGAGGAATGAGTTCACAATTTTATGAAGGAAATAGCAAGGAATGTTAACTGTACCTGTGCCATGTTAGAAGAATAAATACAAAACCATTCCTCTGTAATGAAATGACATGGTTGTTGTGTTTTATGAAAGAGTTTGAGCTAGAGAATGGAATTGACAACATGTCATCAATCACCAAATTATATAAAACAACTGGAAAAAAATATGTAACTTCATTGAGCATTCGTGGAGAAAAGGGCATGAAATAAATATGATGTTTTGATGAAAGTTTAAGTTCTAACCATGAATAGGCTGAGCTGTGAGATCCCAGGGGGCGGTATCATGTTTCTTACCCAGTACAAGCTTCCCTAGGCAGGATCGTTAGGTGTAGTTATATATACAGGTATTGCATACTCTATGCCTGCCATATATTACCTTCATGTTAACCTTTTGTACATAAGTAGAGTCTTGTTGCCTAAATTCACCAATGTCCTTCATCAGGCTCCATCCTTTCTTGGTACCCTAACTTAAAATGGAGTAAGTCTGAAATATTGAGAAAGTGTAAGACCCTAAATATTCAGTTAAATTTTGTGTAATATGGTATGAGAGAATATATGGATGTAGATATAGCCCCTCCTTAGTTATCCCGTTCCAGGACTATAGTCCTGTACGGAGCCAATACATTTGCCTGTACGATTACAACTTGGGAGAATTATCTACGCCCCTTCCACTTAAGAAACCTACCTCAATGCATTCTAGAACTCAAAATGTAACTTCTAATATATTGGAACCGCCGATTGTCTGGGTTAGTTGGCAGAACGAGGTCTTTTTGTTTCTTATGGCTCTTTTGGTCGAAGTTCGATTAAGATGGCGGTTATAACGGAATTTCCCGAACTCTTCCGTAATAGCACGAACTTGGTTTTTCGTTACGTCACTTCCGTGTAAAATGGATTTGTTTCGGGTAAGAGGGAATTTCGAAAATTTCGGACAATATTTTCAATATTTACTGCCATGTCGACATCCTATGCTCTTAACTGTATACCGAATGGTTAAACAATGTTTCTTACCGGAAACAAATCCATTTTACATGGAAGTGAAGTAACGAAAAACCAAGTTCGTGCTATTACGGAAGAGTTCGGGAAATTCCGTTATAACCGCCATCTTAATCGAACTTCGACCAAAAGAGCCATAAGAAACAAAAAGACCTCGTTCTGCCAACTAACCCAGACAATCGGCGGTTCCAATATATTAGAAGTTACATTTTGAGTTCTAGAATGCATTGAGGTAGGTTTCTTAAGTGGAAGGGGCGTAGATAATTCTCCCAAGTTGTAATCGTACAGGCAAATGTATGGGCTCCGTACAGGACTATAGTCCGGGAACAGGATAACTCCTTAGAACCATGGAGGAGCATGTTGAATGAGGGGTTTGAAGTCCTTAATATGGAATCGTCTTCATGGATGACTCTACCATCACAGAACATTTATTTTTCAGTAATTTGTAATAGCAAGAAAAACAAATCAGTGAAGACATAAGCCATGGAGTTATAACATACTAATACATTTGTTAAGTCAATAGATGAGATGTTGGTATAGCTTGAAGATTCACTTTGCTAAAGTAATGTTAACCTGCTTTCTAAAAATACAGTTGGAATGCATAAGGTTGTAGGCCTTGTGGATATCTAAATCATTCTGAGGATGGCTCTCTTGTCATTCTAGAATGTAGAATTTTTCGTAGAATTTTCTGTGAAATATTTTTGGAAAAGAGAGTTGCATTCGTAGCTTGTATTTCTCCAGTTCCTTCCTAATTCATTTTCCCTTTCTTCCTATTCATATATAAGTGATGGGTGCCATTTAATGCTGACTTTGCGTTACCCTTTGCATTCGTTCAACTTCACTTCTTAAAAGAGAGCTCCGTCTTCACTCTTTCAAACTAAAATAAACCTGTGAACTCACCGCGCCAATCAGTGCTCGTCGGCCAAATTTGACCGACGTTCTATACACGGTCATTCCTTCTGACGTCATCGTTAAACCCGGAATTGACCGATGACAATCCAGAATTTATTTTGGCGCGTGTTTCCTCAAGCTCGCTGATTGGTAGAAGAAAGGTCAGCGCGTAGGTCAGAAGTGATTTATTACCCGAACTGTCACCGGCACCCGTTGTAGGGGCGGGGCTACTAAACTGTAATATGGTTTCTACTAGGCAGAGTGTAGTTTAACTAGACTCTGCACGCAGGGTAACTTTGCGTGGGCAAAGTATTACTTTTATCAACATCATTTTCAATTACTAGAAGGGATATAGATCGTCAAAAAATTGTTATACTTCACAATATTTTTATATGTCTAAAAATTGTGACTCTATTTTTTA